CTTTCCTGATAATGATCATTTCTAAGACCAGAAAGTCTTGTTTCTACGGATCACCCATTCAACCTATAACTGTGATGAAAAGCCTCTGAGGGTTTTACCCATCCTGAAGCATTTTACATTCTGAGAATCCTGGGCAAACATTTGTTTTATGCTCAAGACCATTCCTGATCTATCACTGAACCGTAGAAGGTAAATTATTCTACCATCCAGTTCATATGTTTTACTCTCTCACTGTTTAATTCATTTAACAAGACAGTTAAACTTTGCAGAGAGAGGCTTATTTAAAACTGAATAGTACTTCTTATTTAAAACTGAATACTAGCCCTTTATCTGATATGTCATTTGCAAATATCTTCTCCCATTCTGTCAGTTATCTTTTGGTTTTGTTGACAGTTTCGTTTGCTGTGCAAAAGCTTTTTATCTTGATGAAGTCCCAATAATTCATTTTTGTCCTTGCTTCCCTTGCCTTTGACATATTTCTAGGAAGAAGTTGCTGCCGCTGAGGTCCAAGAGGTTGCTGCCTGTGTTCTCCTCTAGGATTTTGATGGACTCCTGTCTCACATTGAGGTCTTTCATCCATTTTGAGTCCATTTTTGTGTGTGGTGTAAGGAAATGGTCCAGTTTCATTCTTCTGCATGTGGCTGTCCAATTTTCCCAACACCATTTGTTGAAGAGACTGTCTTTCTTCCGTTGGACATTCTTTCCTGCTTTGTCGAAGATGAGTTGACCATAGAGGTGAGGGTCCATTTCTGGGCTCCCTATTCTGTTCCATTGATCTTTGTGTCTGTTTTTGTGCCAGTACCACACTGTCTTGATGATGACAGCTTTGTAATAGAGCTGGAAGTCCAGAATTGTGATGCCGCCAGCTTTGCTTTTCTTTTTCCACATTCCTCTGGCTATTCGGGGTCTTTTCTGGTTCCATACAAATTTTAGGATGATTTGTTCCATTTCTTTGAAAAAAGTGGATGGTATTTTGATGGGGATTGCATTGAATGTGTAGATTGCTCTAGGTAGCATTGACATCTTCACAATATTTGTTCTTCCACTCCATGAGCATGGAACGTTTTTCCATTTCTGTGTGTCTTCCTCAATTTCTTTCATGAGTATTTTATAGTTTTCTGAGTACAGATCCTTTGCCTCTTTGGTTAGATTTATTCCTAGGTATCTTATGGTTTTGGGTACAATTGTAAATGGGATCGATTCCTTAATTTCTCTTTCTTCTGTCTTGTTGTTGGTGTATAGAAATGCAACTGATTTCTGTGCATTGATTTTATATCCTGCCACTTTACTGAATTCCTGTATGAGTTCTAGCAGTTTTGGGGTGGAGTCTTTTGGGTTTTCCACATAAAGTATCATATCATCTGCAAAGAGTGAGAACTTGACTTCTTCTTTGCCGATTTGGATACCTTTTATTTCTTTTTGTTGTCTGATTGCTGTGGCTAAGACTTCTAGTACTATGTTGAATAGCAGTGGTGATAGTGGACATCCCTGCCATGTTCCTGACCTTAGGGGGAAAGCTCTCAGTTTTTCCCCATTGAGGATGATATTCGCTGTGCATTTTTGCAAATGACATATCAGATAAAGGGCTAGTATCCAAAATCTATAAAGAACTTATCAAACTCAACACCCAAAGAACAAAGAATCCAATCAAGAAATGGGCAGAAGACATGAACAGACATTTTTCCAAAGAAGACATCCACATGGCCAATAGACACATGAAAAAGTGCTCAACATCGCTTGGCATCAGGGAAATCCAAATCAAAACCTCAATGAGATACCACCTCACACCAGTCAGAATGGCTAAGATTAACAAGTCAGGAAATGACAGATGTTGGCAGGGATGCGGAGAAAGGGGAGCCCTCCTACACTATTGGTGGGAATGCAAGCTGGTGCAGCCACTCTGGAAAACAGTATTGAGGTTCCTCAAAAAGTTGAAAATAGAGCTACCATACGACCCAGCAATTGCACTACTGGGTATTTACCCCAAAGATACAAATGTAGGGATCCGAAAGGGTACGTGCACCCCGATGTTTTTAGCAGCAATGTCCACAATAGCCAAACTGTAGAAAGAGCCAAGCTGTCCATCAACAGATGAATGGATAAAGAAGATGTGGTATATATATATATATATATATATATATATATACAATGGAATATTATGCAGCCATCAAAAAAACCCCAAAATCTTGCCATTTGCAACGATGTGGATGGAACTAGAGGGTATTATGCTAAGTGAAATAAGTCAATCAGAGAAAGACATGTATCATATGACCTCACCGATATGAGGAATTCTTAATCGCAGGAAACAAACTGAGTGTTGTTGGAGTGGGGGGTGGGGTGGGAGGCATGGGGTGGCTGGGTGATAGACATTGGGGAGGGTATGTGCTATGGTGAGCGCTGTGTGTTATGTAAGACTGTTGAATCACAGACCTGTACCTCTGAAACAAATAATCCATTATATGTTAAAAAAAAAAAAGATAGCAGGAAGGGAAAAATGAAGGGGGTGGGAATCGGAGGGGGAGACGAACCATGAGAGATTCTGGACTCTGAGAAACAAACTGAGGGTTGTAGAGGGGAGGGGGTGGGGGGATGGGCTAGCCTGGTGATGGGTATTAAAGAGGGCATGTATTGAATGGAGCACTGGGTGTTATATGCAACCAATGAATCATGGAACACTACATCAAAAACTAATGATGTAATGTATGGTGATTAACATAACATAATAAAATTAAATTAAAAAACTGAATAGTACTTCTCAAAAGTTGGATTTGAGAAATTATAGCAGATTATTTTAACTGCAGTTTTAAAATTTCAAAAAAAAATTGAAAATTTCAGCCAACATCACCTTTTTTTTTTTTCCTTTTCTTTGTTGAGCCTAAGAATCACCTGAGGACTTTTTCAAAATCTGGACACCCACGTGGCACTCCGCATTAGTTAAACTGAATGCCTGGGCAGAGGGAACCAGATGTCCATAGTGGAAACTACCAATCCAATGGATAAGAGAAAAAAAAATTTTTTTTGGCTTAAAAATTTCTAGGAAGTACAAGACAATCATGCCATTAAAATATTTTTAAATGCTTTCATTCTTTTCCTGTGGTCAAAGAACTCCGTAATGCAACAACAGATGTATTGAACAATAATTTACAAAATGAGAGACAATACTAACAAAATTTGCCCAATTTCAGGAAACCTGAGTGGCTCAGTCAGTTGAGCGTCCAACTCTTGATCTCTGCTCAGGTCTTGATCTCAGGATCGTGAGTTCGAGTCTGTACTGGGCTCCATGCTGGGCATGGTGCCTACTTAAAAAAAGAAAAATTGCCAAATTTGGACCTTAAGATGTGTTTTTGATTATAACCCTTTTGAGTACAGAAATAACGCAAGCTATAATGTCTTCTTGATGTTGATGACGAGTTTGAATGTGGATACAAAGGTCACACAGGCATGCTTCATGCACCCGAGAAGGGGACGGACCTCTTCGTAAGCAGCCAAGGGCACTTAGGAGAACCTCATTAAGTCCTGCATTTTGTCCTGCCCTTGGTGCACTAGATTGAACTTTACTGCACACGCACACACACACTTCCACTTTATCAGTTTGAAAATTCTGAAGAATGCCTGCAAAACTTAAACTCGGCCACCACCCGCCCCCCCCCAAGGCTGGAATGGAAGGGGTGGGACTCTTGTCCCAGCCAGGTCAAAGAGCAGGCTTGCTGCCTCCTGCAGGGCCCATCGTGAGTGAGTCAGCACCCGGGCCCTGCAAGAATGCCTGCAAACCCCAGCCAGTCGCGGTACGGGGGAGGGGCCTGCGTGTCCTCTCTCTGGGGAGGCAGCTCCCTGCAGCCTCCTTCCTTTGCTCAGCTGCCTAGAATAGAATGCCTGAGTAGGGCCTGGTGGGGTGGCTCCTCCATCACATCCTATCATCCTGTCCCATCTCCTATCACATCTGGATAGACCGCAGAAGTTCTGCTGTGTCTCTTAGCTGTTCTTGCTGGCTGGCTGGGTCTTTGGAGGACGGTGGTTGATGCCGTTCACACAGGCCAACTTGGTGTCTGCCCACCTTGGACGTCCTCAGTCTGGACAGTAGCTGCTTCCCCCTTCTCCTGGGAGCCTGCTCCTCGGCCGCCCCCCTCTCTGGGCTGAGGGTCCCTGCTAACACAATGGTATGTGCTTCCACTGCGCCTGACCTCGGGGGAAAGCGTTACCTGACAGCTCAGGCCCGCCTTGGGGGGAACTGACCTTGGCCTCGCGGGCCCGCCGAAGCTGTGTTTGGACAATGCATCTTAGTCATTCGAGGGGAGTCTCGACAAGAGCCAAGCAAGCGACCGAAACGGGGGGTGTGCTTCCTGCGGTCTTGCCCTCTCTCTTTGTCCCTCTGCTCCGGTATTCGTATCATAATAACATAGATGATCAGCACTTGTGGGAACGCTCTCTTTACTGGTTTTCTTTCATGCTCCCACAAGAGTGACGCAATCCTATCTTTCGAAATAGACTTAAGGGTAGAGAAAAGGAGAACACGTTGAAGTCAATTCATCTTTAAAGAAAACTAGTGTTTTCGGCCATCTGACGTCTCAGTGTCGAATTCTCCCCTGAGATTGGACTGTGTTTTGAATGTGATGCGGGACCCGGCTGACACTTTGACTTGGCCTATTTGTGTGTTTCTGCTGTTGTTTTTGTTGTTGAACGGAGGTAAACATTCCGAAGTGTCCATGTTCTTGAACCTTGTCTAAAAAAAAAAATCCCTGAAAAGAAACCTAAAATGACTGATGATTGTATGCAATCTCTGTTTATTTCTGTCTCCGTAGGTGGGTATCTTTTTTTTTCTTCACCTGAGAGCTGAACCCTTTGGCTTGAAAAGAACAGGTCGTAGGAAAGAAGACTTACAAACAACTAATGGTCTCATGACTCACCTCACCTCCCCTCACCTTTGCCATTGTTGACAAGTGTAGTGTTTTTTCTGTCTGGACCTGCCTGTAATTTGCCCTAATCTTTCCACTGTCTTCCAGGACTACCAGCCAGACTCCCAGAAATCATGTTGGTAGGATCCCAGTCCTTCTCTCCTGGGGGGCCCAATGGGATCATCAGAAGCCAGTCCTTCGCGGGGTTCAGCGGCCTTCAGGAGAGACGGTCCAGGCAAGTCGGGTGTGGTTCTGTCCCGGGACGCAGCTCGAGAAGGCTGTGAGCTCATGCCCTCAAGAGGCTCTGCGAGCGTTCAGCCTTGTTGAAACATACACACGCATGCACATGCACGCACACACGCGTGCATGGTATTTTAATCTCTTCCAAGGAAAAGACGTAATGTACCAAAAATTAAGTGCCGTAATTTCTTTCTGTCATCTAGAATTCCTCCTGCCAAGCAGATGGCTGGAGATTTGGGATAAGCTAGCAGTCTGTGTGCCTGGCTCTCCCCGCCCCCTCCCCTTTGGGCCGCACGTCTCCCACCACAGCCAGACTGGGGAGACTGTGTTTGCTCTAAGTTACGCAGTGGGTAAAGACCGCCTCTGCTGAGCGACTCTGGGCAGCAGATGTCCTTCAGACACAGGCTTGGGAAAGTTAGTCTTCCGGTTTCTCCTGAATCTCCCTTCCTCTAAAATAGGACTTCGGGGAACTCAAGAAGGAACACACGGGTCATGAAATAGGTAACATGGAAAAAGTTTGTCTTCAGTTTTTCCGACACGACAGAGGTCTTGGGCCCTCAGGGGCCTACGTCCTCGACCTGTCCTGTCCCCTTTGGTACGGACAGTTATGCTGAGGAAAAGAGTAACTAGCCTGGGAGGTGCAGGGCGGGCACCTGCCAGACTCGGAGGTCACAGCTTTCCCTTTGACAGCTGGGTCGGTGAGGTTCTGGACTCTCGGTCTCCTAATCAGATCCGGGGTTGGGGTCTAAGTTCTCTCAGGTGTCCATCTCTGCTTGCAGGCTGCGTCCCTGCCACTAACAGAGATGCTGAGTTCTGCGTTCTACCTAAAGATAATGTACTCCAGAAAAAGAAAGCTCACACAAAGCCATGGGTTCGGCTACGTGTGCCTCTCTCTAACGCCGTCTGGAGTAGCCCTTTATCCAGAAACTGTTCATTCACATCCTAGTCGAGTTCAGCAGACGCTTGTGCTCAACATTGCATAGCACGCGTATTTTTTTCGTCGGATTAGACGGTTCTGCTTCCTCGTTTCCTTGGAAGCACTTGTCCTCGGCTTTCTGTAAGGGTTCAGTGGCATGGTGTGTCTTCACTCAGAGCCCCTGACCTGACCCTGGGGAGCCACTGCCTTGCGGAGCTTCCAGATTTCAGCAGTTCATAAATCTAATAGCAAATCCACCAATAAACCACACGTGGGATGGCTCAGGTTATTCAGCTATCGGGGACCCGTACCTTCCCCACAAGACACAGATATGAACACAAAATGATTCAGAGGGCATTTCTTTGCTCAGACCCTTTTGGATGCCGAGACTCACAATTTCTTTTTCCTTTGCACAGATGTAACTCCTTCATCGAAAATCCCTCCGCTCTCAAGAAGCCTCAGGCCAAACTGAAGAAAATGCACAATTTAGGACACAAAAACAACAACCCTCCCAAAGAGCCTCAGCCTCAGAGGGTGGAAGAGGTCGTCAGAGCCTTGAAAAACGGACTCGAGTAAGAACATCGACGCTAAGAGCGCCCTAGAACGTTTTTCCTTTCTAAAATCCTCACGGGGAGGAGGGGTGCACGGGAAAGTTTTAAGAGATCATTTTAAAATGTCTATTTCTGTACTAGACATTTTATTCTTGCACCGTAATTGAGGAAGCCTTCAATGAGTCTCAAACATGTGAAATATGTCAAGTTTCCGCATCACATCCATAGCATTGAGGGAGATCCGAACTAGTGATGTGTTTAACTCAGCGCAGTGTTGGGATTTCACATAAACGGTGATGGACAGACAGCTCCATTTTAGTGATCGCTGAGGAAGGATTCTGAAACCTTCCCAAGTTATTATGTTATATATTATAGTCTATTATTATACGGATTGTTGGCCCAGAATAAAATCTCCCTGGTGTGTGGGGAGACCTCTAGAGTTGGTGTCATATTTCACTAGATAGAATTCTGTGAGCCTGGACCCAGGAGACCCAAAACATCATTTGCGCCATTCCCTCCCCTCTGCTTTTTCTTTTTTGGACTTGCAGCCTCACAGGGGCTCTCCTTTTTGACCATCTGGATGGTATCAGAAGCAACTCCCGGAGCTTTCAGAAAGTTGAGAGATTAGGAGATATGCAGCCTCTTCCCCACCGACTCTCCCCTCCCCAGAGCAGGGCTCAGGTTCCTCGTCCCCTTCGGAAGGACAAGGGCAGCACGGTACAGAGGTCACGAGTAGGTTTCCTGTTCTTTTTGCAGTGAATATCTGGAGGTTCACCAGACAGAGTTGGACAAGCTGACAGCTCAGTTAAAAGATATGAGAAGAAACTCTCGCCTGGTAGGTACCATCCGATCATTAGGATGTTAACCCAGTATTCCTTTTTTTGGGCTGAGTATCTTTTTTTTTCCCTACTGGATGGGGATAGGGGTCTGGGGAAGGGTACAGGGATGAGGAAGAACCTTTAAGAAAAGTAGATCCAAGGGGGAGAGTACTATCTGCTTCCTCATGCATATATGAGAAGGTTAAAGTTATTCTTTTTTTTTTTTTAAGATTTTATTTATTTATTTGAGAGAGAGAATGAGAGAGAGAGAGAGAGCATGAGAGGGGGGAGGGTCAGAGGGAGAAGCAGACCCCCCGCTGAGCAGGGAGCCCGATGCGGGACTCGATCCCGGGACTCCAGGATCATGACCCGAGCCGAAGGCAGTCGCTTAACCAACTGAGCCACCCAGGCGCCCCCGTCTTCTCACCTTTTTTTTTTTTTTTAAGATTTTATTTATTTGAGAGAGAGACAGAGAGAGAGAGCATGAGGGGGGGAGGGTCCGGAGGGTCAGAGGGAGAAGCAGACTCCCTGCCGAGCAGGGAGCCCGATGCGGGACTCGATCCCGGGACTCCAGGATCATGACCTGAGCCGAAGGCAGTCGCTTAACCGACTGAGCCACCCAGGCGCCCCAGTTAAAGTTATTCTTAATACTTCTCAGTATTTTCCAAGCATGTTTATGTGGATACGCTTTATAATCAGGAAAAAATACTAAACAGAAGCAGCTGCAACCCCCTCTACCCCTCCTCCAAATCATATAAGGAAATGAAAAGTTGGGGTTCTCCTAGCATTTTGTTAGTACAGAATTTGGAGCCCAGAACAACTAAAAAAACAGTACAGGTCAATGACGTCAGGGAGGGCAAGGGGATCCCAGGGGCACCTGTTACGAGAAGGTGGGAGCAGCCCCTGAGCCCGTTCCATTACATGTCCTTACGACCCGCAGCTCACAGGTGTCCTCTATTCTAATAAATTTGTGAGGACTTACCTGGTTGAAGAGGTGCTTCTCCCCTATACACTATTTTAAATGATTTTGTTCCGTTCAAAATGATCTTACATCTTAATCTTCCAAGGTGTCCGAAAGCCCAGGAAAAGTCTCCACGCACTAAGAGGTAGAGCTGTGCATCCATAGCCACTGTCTTCTTCTGTTTTCGGAGATCTGCTAAGATGCGTAGTCGTGTCCTTTCCAAAGGCTCAGAGGCTAAAAGCTTTACGGAAGTTAAAAGATTTTATCCCCCGATGATGTTACAGTAGGAACCGCCCCATCTCTGTGGGGAGCGACTCCTTATGGAATGGCCTTCCGCTTTGGAATGCCCTTGAGCATCCTCAGTGGCAACACATGTTTCTCCTTGGAGAACAATAGTGAATGGACGCAGGAGCTCTTGCTGGAACCTGGTGTTCCGTAGAGAAACCCTCCTGATGGGGGACATGGGGATGCTGTGCTGATTACACTGTGCTATTACAAACACACAGGAAATGAACTTGCTTAAAAAACAATTTGTGAGGGCGCCTGGGTGGCTCAGTTGGTTAAGCGACTGCCTTCGGCTCAGGTCATGATCCTGGAGTCCCAGGATCGAGTCCCGCATCGGGCTCCCTGCTCGGCGGGGGGTCTGCTTCTCCCTCTGACCCTCCCCCCTCTCATGTGCTCTCTCTCATTCTCTCTCTCTCAAATAAATAAATAAAATCTTAAAAAAAAAAAAAAAAAACAATTTGTGAAAAGCCTATCACTGCCCTCCAGGACTCTCCTTAAACACCAGTTTTATATGTTTAAATGGGAGGGCAAGTGCTATCCCTGCTCCATTCTATGTTAACTTGCTTTCCTTATTTAAAAGTTAATATGAATTTATGTGCCCCTCAGGATGTAAGAGAGGAGAGCTGAAAGCAAGTGAGACCCTTGGGTGCAGAGAGATTGGGGTGGAATTCTGGAGACACAGAGGGAAAATAAATACGGGCCCCTAAAAGTACTCTCGCCGCTATTTCAAATAACCCAGCAGAACTTTGCAAGAGTGATCATTTCTTCCCCGGAAATGCAGAAATGCAAACTGAATCCCTCTATTGAAATCACTAACAATTGTGAGGAAACTATGTTTTAATCCGGACACTCCTTTTTTATTTTAGGGTGTGCTGTATGACCTAGACAAGGTAAGTTATCATTCTGTGGGGGGGAGTATTGCGAAAAAATAAAACACTGCATGTTTGCAGAGAGGTCTGTGATTTCCTCTTTAGGCATAACCAGATCTCCAAGAACTGATGATTTTTCTAAGCCTAGTAAAAGTCATTCTTGTATCTAATGAGGGCGGGTGAATAAGTACCATGATCTGTAGCTCCAATAACATCTTGAAGGTCACTTCCATAAAAATGCCACTTGGTTGTAGGGTTTCTCTGTGCACTGATAAGTTCAAGAACTTTCCAGGTATTTGAAGGTCCTTACCTGTGTTCTCTCTAATTGACTGCCGTATTTCATCAAATTGAAGACATCTTTGACTGAAAAACACACCATTATTTTATATCTCCCTAAGGGAAAAAAAGTGATTCCAGGTAAACCCTGGCACGGTTTTCTCTGTTCACTTAAAATGTGTATTTTATACTTCGTGACAAAACTCTTCTAGGCTTCTTTTAAATGTAGAGTTTGTTTTTATTTATTCATATATGCTGCTGGTCTCTTCGCATGCCTTTCTGTATATACGTAATTTTAATGCTGAATCATGGTGTAATGTTTTTTGAAGACACTGGAGAGGGTAATTAAGTTTAATGCATGTAATAACAATATTTATAACTCAAAGAGATGACACACGAACCACTGTGATTATCTTTGAGCACGAATGGACAGTAGTTTCAAAATGCACCCCGGTTTCAGAGACACTAAACTGTAGGGGCATGAGTTCATCTTCGAGATGATAAAATATGTTACTGTGAAGGATTAGAAGAAGGCCCCAACAGGATATTGCCCTGTTAGAAACCCAGTGAATTCCATTTGATTGGCCTCCCTCAATGTTCAACACAAGGATTCCCATTACTAACTCAAGCTCATCTCTCAGAATATTTATTCGATGTTTTAGTAAATACTTTCCAAATTGGTATTAGAGATTCTCTGAAATAGCCAAGATTGGAAGGAAGGGGAGGTATTTAGCATTTTCTGGCAATTTGGGGTCTGAGATCAGGAAGAAGATATTCTTGTTGGTCTAGATCAGTTAAACTGTAAATGGCTGTACCTTTTCAAACTTCTTCTTTTAATTCCAGCAAATTAAAACGATTGAAAGATACATGAGACGCCTGGAATTTCACATTAGTAAGGTAATGAAGTTCCCGTTGTCTTGGCTTCTGGGTTTCTGTCCTCAGTCACTAATCAATACGCCTTTGGCCTAAGCATGGCACGTAGTCCGCGGAGAATGTCTTACCTAATTGACTCCTAAACTGATTATCAATTAAGTCCTCCAATGGGCAGGAAAGATGGAGAAAAAGGGGAAAAGAGCCTGACAGTCTGGCATAGCTCTGACTCTCCTTCCATTCAACAAACATTGAAGTGTTTCCCACAGAGCCTCCTGCTGGGCTTTTAGTCCCTGTGCAGTCTTGGTAAAGATCGAACCAGACTCACCCCTACACGAAACTTCACACTTGCATAACTGGACCCTCTGGGGCCACGCATATAGCTTGGTACCCCGTAAACTTCTTCACGAGGGCCTTGAAAGTACTTAAGGGCAGGTGCCATGTACGTCCCTAACTCTTTCTCAAGCTCCTGGCTCCTTCTGTCCTTCCTCACATGGCGTGGTTTCCAGGCACCTTTTCTTTCATCTTTGTCGCCCCCGTCGACGTGGGCCATTTTTTCAGGACCCCTGACACCCAGCCCTGAACCCTACAAACCATTCACTGACGATCCAACCAGGCTAGCATGGAGTGGGACTGTCACCCCATTGTTCTGGACACTACCAAGAGTTACTGGGGCAACCAGAAAACCGTTCCCGTTGGGAGCCGCTAAATCCCACCAATGGTCATTCCTATATGCATCCATGTGCATCAGCCTCTCTTCCAAGTAGAGAGACTGGAGCCTTCAGTCTCCAGCCTCGATCTCTCCGCTAGGAGTCAGAAGCCCTAGGCTCCAGTCACATACTCTCTGGGCTATATCACCCATGCGAACCTTGGTTTTCCACTCCGTGAAATGGGGCCGGGAGGTGCATGCATTCAATCTAAATGAGCCTAAGAATCCTTTTGTTTTAAAATTCTGTGACGATTTAGATGTATGTAAACATATGTATATGCAGCTGTCTTTGCATGTTTCCACTTTGAAAAATATCTATTACCTGGGCGAATCTGAAATTGCTCCTATTTCTGTTAAACTCAAATAAAACAATGACATCCATTCAGATGTATCTGGGTGGCAGGCAGGTGTTGGCAAATTACTCTGTTTAGTTAGAAACACAGCAAGAAAACAAAATCCCTCTCAGGCAGGAGTGTATTTATCCACCTTGCAGCCGTCGTGGTTAGCCATGACGACCCCGGGGGGCACGAAAGGTTGGGGGCGGTCTGTTTGCAGCACCTTAAGCACAGCATGTCTCACAAATGGTATTTAACTGAATGAGTCCAGCAGCTGGTTTGGTGAGGGTCCCTGCTGACGTGTGGATGAGACCAACGCTTGCCTACAGTCGGCCCGTTCCCACTCAAGTGGGTACAGAGTTACCCTTTATCCTACAGGTTAACTCCACTGGGCTAGGATAGGCTGGCACTGAAATGAAAACAAAGAATTAACTCTTCTGCAAATGCAGAGTAACAGACTGCATCTTTAGGGCTAACCTGATGTCCCCATGAGGAGTTTCCTATAGAGAGGATTAGCAGTTTCCTATAGAGAGGATTACAGTCTCAGACTTTAGCAAACCCAGTAGTGGGGAAAACAGAGGAAGGGGCAGCTTCCCAGGGGACCCCATGGGTGAAACAGTCTGGCCTGCCCTGGAAGAGGGATCAGCTCTTGTGTTTCTAGGGGTTTTGTGGGGACCAACCCCATGAGAACGATCTGCAATGTTTATGTAATATTCCAGATTCCAGCCCAGCCCTAACCTACTGAATCTGCATCTCAGAGGGGGGGGGCCTGGGCATCAGCATTTTGACAAGCTCACCAGGTGAGTCTTAGCTTGGTTTTAGGGTATGGCAGCCACCCTCTCTGCCAGTCACGAACCCAAAGATTTCATCAGCAGCTTCACCACCCTTGACCTTACATCTCCCTCTTAATCGGAGACAAACCCATCGACTCCAAAGACGAAAGGCTGCTTCCAGAGTTTGGCAATTGCTCTCACCAAAGTGGAGTGAGTTGTTGAAGGAAAGAGCAACAGAGAATCCTTTAACCAGAGAATAATTTCCAGTCTCTTAATGTGCATCTTCTAAGTTGAGTGTGATTGACGTCTAGACAGAGATTGCAATGGTGGAAAATTCCACCTACTCTAACAGGTCCTCCTGATGCTTTGTCGTCAGCACCCAAAAACTTGCTTTCAGAACAAAAGAGGAATCTTAAACTCTGAAACCCATTATATTCATCTCCACCTTCCTCTGGTTCTACAGCCGTTTGAGAGAATAAAGTTTGTACTGAAATGAAAAATTCAAGTTGGCCGAGGCAGATCCCTGCCTCACAGAAGTCCCTGATTTCCTTTGCTTCTGCCAACACCTGGGGTTCGTGTCCTTTTCATCTGCCTGCAAACTCCTGTGGTTAACTGGGGAGCGAGCTGATAATGGGGGAGAGCGCAAGACTGTGGACATATACGTGATCAGCAATAACCAGGTTTTCTCGACTTAAGCACTATTGATATTTGGAGCTAGTCTTTGTTGTAGGGCACTGTCCTCTGTCCCGCAGGATGTTTCGCAGCATCCCTGGCCTCTGTCCCTACCAGATGGTGATAATACCTCCCCGCTGTGAGGCTGGAAATAAACGGCTCCAGCTTTGGCCAAATGTCCCTGGGGTGTCAAAATCGCCTTGGGTTGATTGAGAATCGCTGTCTTCAAGATAGTAAGTGATTCTCAGGCTTATAAGATGAGTATGATCAATAGTCATTTGCAAACAGCGTATGATTGTTTGGACGTAAATGTAGATGTATAGCAGAAAAATGCTCACCTCCAGTGTTTCCATTTATTGTTTTAGTGGCAGTATTATTTACACAAACAAACACTGCATAGTTCTTAAGTGTTCAGTTTGATCAAGTTTTGACAGTTGTGTTTTATCCTCATTTTTTTTTTTAAAGATTTTATTTATTTATTTGTGTGAGAGAGAATGAGAGAGAGCACATGAGAGGGGGGCGGGTCAGAGGGAGAAGCAGACTCCCTGCCGAGCAGGGAGCCCGATGTGGGACTCGATCCAGGGACTCCGGGATCATGACCTGAGCCAAAGGCAGTCGCTTAACCAACTGAGCCACCCAGGCGCCCTTATCCTCATTTTTAAAAAAGATTTTATTTATTTGAGAGAGAGACACAGAGAGCATGAGCAGCAGGGAAGGGCAGAGGGAGACTCCCCGCGGAGCAGGGAGCCCGATGCGGGGCTCGATGCCAGGACCCCGGGATCACGACCTGAGCCAAAGGCAGGCGCTTAACCCACTGAGCCACCCAGGTGCCCCTCTTCACCCTCATTTTAAGAATAATTTAATACCTTTATTTTCTATATTGTTGAGGCTCCTTATTGAAGATGATTTTTTATTTAAGATTTTATTTGAGACAGAGAGCAAGAGCGGGGGCGGGGGGTGGGCAGAGGCAGAGGGAGAAGCAGACTCGCCTCTGAGCAGGGAGCCCGATGCGGGGCTCGATCCCAAGACCCTGAGATCATGACCTGAGCCAAAGGCAGACACTTAACCAGCTGAGCCACCCTGCTCAGAGGGATGTCTGCTTCTCTCTCTCCCTCTGTCCCTCCCCCTGCTCATGCTCTCGTTCTCTCTCAAATAAAATCTTTATAAATAAATAAATAAATAAAAGGATGACACTTCTACTAGAGTCTCCTTGTTGAGGTCAGAAACATAAATATCTTTTGGACTGAACAATGGCCTGTGTAACTTCTTTCAAGTGGGATTAAATAGTTACATCCCTCGTGTTCCCTCCTGTGATTCTGACAGGTAGATGAACTCTACGAAGGGTACTGTATCCAAAGACGCCTCCAAGATGGTGCCAGCAAAATGAAGCAAGCCTTCGCGGCCTCGCCTAGCAGCCGAGCTGCCCGTGAGAGCCTGTCGGAGATCAGTCGCAGCTACAGGGAGTACACGGAGGTATGTGCCGGTTGGCTACCTCATCCTACCCTTAAGGGAGCTGTCTTACCATTTGCCTCTCTTGCACTCTTTGGGGGCTGTCTGTGGAATTGTTTAAGATGAGTCTCGGGCGCCTCTGTCGGTCGTATTTTGGTTCAGTCAGTCTTCAGTGGACTCCACAGCCTCCGTTGGCCTTTCTTGGTCCCCGAGCGTCACCTGGCAGTCACTCATCTCCTAGTGCCTTGGACCGTGCTTGCTCATGAAACTGAAAAGCCGCAAGATGTCAGATGCTACGAAGCCGTTCACTGACCAAGTCTTGAACTCTTCTGTGCTCCCTGCTGCCTTGCAATCTCTGCATAGGGAGGCTACGAATGCTTGTCGAGAAGTTCAGCGAATGCATGGGTCAGCCACAGGGCCCTGGTTTTTTTTTTTTTTAAAGATTTTATTTATTTACTTGAGACAGAGAGAATGAGAGACAGAGAGCATGAGAGGGAGGAGGGTCAGAGGGAGAAGCAGACTCCCTGCCGAATAGGGAGCCCGATGCGGGACTCGATCCCGGGACTCCAGGATCATGACCTGAGCCGAAGGCAGTCGCTTAACCAACTGAGCCACCCAGGCGCCCAGGGCCCTGGTTTTTGACGCTCTAAGTGCACTCCTAAGTTTTCTAGTGTCCAGGCAAATCTGGCTTTATTCCCAGAAGTAGAACCACCCTAGCGGTTAAGATAGCTGCCCTGAAAGCTGGGTATCACCAACACTCCAGCCTGTGATGATTTTATGCTAAGGAAGTCCCCTTCTCTCTTCAAGGAGACAAGATAAAGAGCCACAAGCAGAAGTGGGCCTCCCCTGGCTTCTGTCTCTGAGGCCCCTGCATCCGACACAGGGAGGCCTTCCCTCCTCCTGGGGTCACCTGATACCAAGTGTCTTTGATGGAAGACTGAACAATTCAAGCTGCACATCTCACTAACCCGAGTGTCTGCTCGCAGATCGAATTTCATAAATGAAGTCATCAGCCTCCTGAGGGTTCATGGGGTCTGCTGGGCAGTTCCCGGAGCTGAGCCTCTGACCCCATGGGTCACCTTGTATGGTCGCTCCAGCAGTGTCTCTGGTCTGAACCGTTTTGTCTCTCTCTCCGTGTTTCGGCTTCTTCGCCTATATTCCCCTTTCAGAAGAATGCTTATTAAATGCACAAAATAAAATATGTGGAATCCAGGAACTCAGAAGAAACTAATGATACTGAAATAGTCATTTCAGTATTAGTAGTACAGTTACCAAAATATCTTAAAAAGCAAAATATTTTGATACAGTGCTGTGCTTTGTTTATGCCACATTATTATTAGCACATCTAAATTATCAGCTCTGGAAGTTATAAAATTTTATATTATTTTTTTAAAGATTTTATTTATTTATTTATTTGAGAGAATGAGAATGAGAATGAGAGAGAGAGAGAGCACATGAGAGGGGGGAGGGGCAGAGGGAGAAGCAGACTCCCCGCCGAGCAGGGAGCCCGACGCGGGACTCGATCCCGGGACTCCAGGATCATGACCTGAGCCGAAGGCAGTCGCTTAACCGACTGAGCCACCCAGGCGCCCTCATATAACCCATTTTGAATTTTCTTTTTCCTAGCCATTGAATTCTACAAGAGAGGGTATAAAAAGAGACTGTTTTCTTTTTTTTTTTTTAAGATTTTATTTATTATTTGACAGAGAGAATGAGAGAGAGCAAGCACACGAGATGGGGGAGGGTCAGAGGGAGAAGCAGACTCCCTGCCGAGCAGGGAGCCCGATGCGGGACTCGATCCCGGGACTCCAGGATCATGACCTGAGCCGAAGGCAGTCGCTTAACCGACTGAGCCACCCAGGCACCCCAGAAGTTATAAACTTTTAAAGTAGCCATAAGTATGAGTGACTGTTCAAGGTTCTCTGGAACCAGTGGTGTGGCATGAACACACCAGTGATTTCTATGTGTCAGAGACCCACAGGTACCAGTCATACCGCTGGGGCTTCCCACATCCGTGATGCTTCCACGCCATGCATTTCACTGGTTGTGAAATCATGGGGACTTTCTCTTCCCCCCATCTAAGTTCGTGGCCCCAGGGCTTGAGACGCCCTGTCTTAGAAGCAGCCCTGGTCCCTGAGACCTCATCTGTGCATGTCTCAGAAATAGAAGAGCACTTAAAACGGTCATTCGGAGTCCAGGAGCAGGTAACTGACCGGCAGCCTGGAGAAGCTGCCCCTTCTAGAATATTCGCCGGCTGTTTCCGAAATACCCATCCTTGCCCAGGTGCCGGCACGTGGCATCAGACTCCGCTCCCATGTTCGAAGATGTAGAGGACCGTTTCAGCAAGAGGAACTGCGCCTTCGGGGAGAAAGGAGTCGGACTTCTGTAGCGTCCTACCTGACATCGGGTGGTTTTTGTCTTCACGGAGCCGCAGAGCCGGGATTTTATCACAGAGAGCGTTTTGGAGGAGAGGCTCGGGGGCCTGCTGCAGGGGCGGCAGGGCTCCTCCACAGCTGCCCGGCTGAATCGGAAGAGCATCACCTGCTAAACTAGCTGCGCCCCCATGTTTTCTTGAAGACGCTCGTGGCAACCCTGCTTGCAGGCTAACGTCCCCGGCGTTTCGGGAAAGTGCCATGTGTTCCTTCACCGGGCCGCGCAGCGCTCTGAGAGAAGCGGTTTTCGATACTGAGGCTTTGTTTCAAGTGGCAGGAGCCCAGGCTTCAGGACGTTTCCCCGAGGTCTGCGAAGCTCTCTGAGGTACCCAGAGCTCACAAGGGCAAAGGCAGTGCCACCGTCTTCCCACCCCATCGACACACCGGTGCGGGAGAGCATCTTCTGGAGAGAACAACAGGGCGCTGTCGCCTCACTCAGCAATCCTGAAGTCCTGAGCCCACAAAGTGCAGACAGAGCACTCCCTGTCGGTGCCCACGGGGCTGTGGGCTAGCAGGAGTGCCCCCCACCCCCGCCCCCCACCATGGAGGCCGGTTGCTGGGGGAGAAGCCTGCAGCCCACTCCCGGGGGCCGGACGGTCAAGGCCGCCTCGGGAGAGCCCTGGCCGCGCACTTTTCCGTTTTCGATCTCTAGCTCCGACTGCTCTGTTGAGGTCCTCAGATCCGGAGGAAGCAGGGCCGGTGCTCGTAGTGACCTGTCTAACCACGCACTTAGATGGTGTCCCTCCTCCTGCCTTCGGGGGGCCCTCAGCAGTAGCGTGAGCGGAGGACTCTTGTCAGGCCCAGGAATCATTTTGGGGGCACGTGGCCTTTACCGCAGGAAGCCAGCTTCACTCACTTTGCAGGACACAGAACTGCTGTTATTATGGCCCCGATTTCTATTCAGAGAAATTTCCAACTGACAGAAAAGTCAAGACTATTATAATAAACACCATCTGGGGCGCCTGGGTGGCTCAGTCAGTTAAGCGACTGCCTTCGGCTCAGGTCATGATCCTGGAGTCCCGGGATCGAGTCCCGCGTCGGGCTTCCTGCTCGGCGGGGAGTCTGCTTCTCCCTCTGACCCTCCCCCCTCTCATGTGCTCTCTCTCTCTCATTCTCTCTCTGTCAAATAATAAATAAAATCTTTATTAAAAAATAATAAAGTTTCATTGGGCGCCTGTGTGGCTCAGTTGGTTAAGCGACTGCCTTTGGCTCAGGTCATGATCCCGGAGTCCCGGGATTGAGTCCCGCGTCGGGCTCCCTGCTCGGCGGGGAGTCTGCTTCTCCCTCTGACCCTCCCCCCCCCAATGTGCTCTCTCTCATTCTCTCTCTTTCAAATAAATAGATAAAATCTTTAAAAAAAATAAATAAAAATTAAAAAAAAAATAAACACCATCCGCCTTTACCAGTTGGTAACGTCTTGCCATATTTGCTTTCCTTCTCTCACCTATGCTCAACTTTTTCGTTCTTTATCCTTGTTTTTTTGCTGAGTCATCTGACAGTAAGTAATGGACATGGCGACCCTTCAGCCCATAAGTGTTTTGCACAGAACCCACAGGGGCCGCCTGTGTCTCCCTGCACAAACACACGCCATTCCCACAACTCAGACAGTTAGTCAATTAACGGAGTTATCCAATGGTCTGTGCATCTTCAGATGCTGCTATTTGGCCCGGTCATGTCTTTGATAACTGTCTTAGTGTATTGTCCTTCAAGTCAGGATCTATTGGGAGGTAACTGGTGGCATTGGTTTTTATGTCTCTTTAGCTCCTTTGGTCTAGAACTTTTTTCCCACATTACCTTTTTGTAGAATCCAGGCCAGTTCCTGCAGAATATCACGTTCTGGATTCGTCTGTTTATGATATAATGTGATGAGATCATTGATGTAACATCTGAAGGAAACACAGCGAGTCTTCTGCTGTAGGAGGTCCCAAAGTCAGCGACTTAAGAACCTTGATCTTCTCCATTTAGGAGCAGACTACTTTCCTTCTTCCTTTTTTTTTTTTAAAAAAGATTGTTTATTTAGTTCTTTGAGAGAGAGAGAGAGAGATCACGAGCAGTGGGGAGGGGTAGAGGGAGAGGGAGAAGCAAACTCCTCGCTGAGCAGGGAGCCCAATGCTGGACTCGATCCCTGGACCCTGAGATCCTGACCTGAGCCGAAGGCAGAGCCACCCAGGCGCCCCCAGACTGCTTTCCTTTTTGTCTAGCATCCCAATCCTCACCGTTGTGCATGGAAATAAGTGAAATTGTTCTTCTGTGCTCTAAATTTCCCGTACACCAGAAGGCTTGCGTAGACTCCGGGTGGGGGGTGGAATTTTGTCCAGAATGCTTCACGGCAGGGCTGGGGAGCTCTCTGCAAACAGGTGAATGCTGGTGTTCGAGCCTCGAGCTGTAGTTGTCTGCAGGTACTAGAACATCACGTGCTTTGCGCTGTTGGTGACAGAAGCCGCGTGCTGATGCCCGTTTTCTGTCCTCTTCACAGAATATGTGCACCATCGAGGCAGAGCTGGAGAATCTGCTGGGGGAGTTCTCCATCAAGATGAAAGGTACTCTTTCCCCTGTTCAGAGAGGAAGGCGCCGTCTCCACAGACAGAGCTTCTTGAAGTTTGGGTGCACACGCTATTTTTACTTTTCTTGCAAGGACACTGTGCCACCCACGCTCACCCCTCCCCATTTGTGAATGTGTTGATGTTCCAGAACCTTCTAGTCCTGAGACTTGCCTGCACCCTTAAATCTTTATTATGGCAGAACCTCAAGCATACACAGAAATGAAGAGAATGTTGCAATGAACCCCATATCACCTAGATTTAATAATTAGCAAGATTTTGCCACATTTGCTTTTCCCTGTTTTTCCCTTTGATGATATATAACCCAGATGTATGAGTCTGCCCGTGTGTATTTCAATATGCATCCCTTAAAGAACGGGGGCTGCTTCTTATGTAAATAATCGCAATGCCAAGTATTATCACATCTGATAAAATTAATATGCCTTTGTTATTCATCCACTCCATTATCCAGTTTCCCCAGCTGTCTCCGAAATGCTTTGTACAGTTGGTTTGTTCACACTGGGAGCCAAATAAGGTCCATGCGTTGTGATTGGTCATTAGGTGTCTCTTAGGCTTCCTTTCATCTAAAGCAGACCCTTCCCATTTTCCTCCTACTGTTGACTTGGCATAGAAACCAATGTTGTACAGACCATCCCACGTCCTCGATCTGTCTCTTGGCTTCTTTGGGTATCGTTTCAGTCGCTCCTTCCTGCTCACATTTTCTGCAAACTACCCACCCATTACTTAATGGTATTTATTTTTAGTGTAAAACCCACAGAGGACTGTGCATTTTCCTCCTCTGTCCAGTGCATTTCTGGTGTTTGTTCTGGAAAGCTCTGATCTAGAAGCATGATTGGTTGTTGATATCTGTACCGTGGCATCTTCAGAACAAAAAAAGGCACGCCAGCTTTAGGAAACGGAGCGTGGCCCGGGTGTTGCGGGAAGGGCTCGCCAATTGGCAGCCACGAGTCCGTTTGTCTTGAATGTGGACCCATTGACTGTGGCAAAGAGAGAACTGGGGTGGAGCTACTCTGGTCCTGTTTCTGCAGCAGCTTGATCCCTGGGTTGTTGCTAATGGAGACTTAATCACCCTCTTGTCGACTTTTTGCAATTAAGGGAATAGGGAAGGGGCACTTTTTTTTTTTAAGTGCTCAACAGGAGAGCTTCGTTTTCGAGTGAGTCATCTTAGTCTGCAGGAACTGTTTCTATCAAGCACTAGGCACCCCCGTGAGAACCACTCTGAATGAGTTATTCCTAGAATACCAACGACCTTGACCTTCAGCTTCCCCAGTGGCTGCATTCTTCTCTATGGCAGACCTGAGTGTGAACTGGTTTGTCATTCAGTGTGAAATCTCAACACTTGCTGTCCCACTGGGGTGGGGCCTCCGCGCTTTGTCAGTTTTTCATTTATTGTCTTCATGTTGGGTCCTCTTACCTGAGTCTGAGATTCCAAAACCGCTCAGGCCCTGCCCCAGACCCAGCAAGTCAGAGTGGGCCCTGGAAGATTTTGTCTTAAGACTCGCAAGATGATTTCATCAGCAGCCTCATTCTGGAAAAAAACTGCCCCGAATCAGTGTTTAGCAGAAAACACGTCCCTCTCATGTGCCCTGACACTCGGCACCATCCGTGCAGACTTGTCGGTCTCACAGCTGGGAGAGACTCAGGTCACACATCTTCTCACGATTCACACAGGGAGTACCAGATTTCCCTGATTTCTGTTATCCAAGGCATCCATTTTTGGCAGGATGATCATTTCCCCATTTTATATGACTTGTCCCAGAAGTCACATAGTGAGTTGGAGTCAAACGTGAAACTGAATTCCAGGGCTCCTGGCTTCTAGAATATTCCCACACTCGGTCTCCTATGAGGCGGGAAGTTCGAAGAGAGCAGAGCCAATACTAGAAACTGTTGCTCCACGGATGGCCTCTTCTGTGGGAGGGCCATCTCCAGCCCAGCCCATGGGCAGCGTGGGTGTGGAGCTTCAGGCCTGGGGGTCCGGCAGATGATGGTGCTGGGGGGCCCACCATCCCTGGGGGACCTGGGCGCCGGCTAAATAATAGCCCTGGGTCCTAAAGGGTTATCCTGGTGGGCTGACAGAACCTCCTGTTTACCGAGCAATTCCTTCTCTGCCTCTGCCTGTTCTCTCTTTCCCGCCTGGTCTGCTTCCATCACTTCTGTCTGGGCGCTCGGTTTCCCCCAGGGGGACTCTAGGCCCAAAACATACTCTCCTTTTTCATTACAGATTATTCTCCCTTTGCACGTCCCTAATCTAACATGAAAACTCAAACGACAACTAGGAAGCCTTTCAAAGGAAACACCTCCATGGAAATCTTCCTCTCTCTTGATAAAAGGGAAGCCTCCTCACGCTGCCAAGAAATCTTGCATCTTTGCAATCAGCTACTTTCTTATCTGTGACTCCTTCTGGTAAAACATAACCACCCCACAGCACACATACTGACATCCACTGAGGATATTTCATAATATTGTCAGACCTGGTAACCCCGCTTCCTCCAGCCACACCCTTCCACACTTCCCTTTCTGCACCACCCAACACAAAGAAAACAACCCTTTTGGTTTCATGTGTGTGTGTGTCAGAGTTTGGGCCCCCGGGGGTGTGGGTGCCTTGTTGATAGAAACAACTGATCGGTTACAGAACTCTTGTTCTTGGCCGAGCACGAGGCTGCATCCAGATGAGTGGCCCCTGGCCTTGAGTTCCACACAGTCCACTGGAGAAAAATGGATGTATGAGCCAGTGCATTTAAGTTCAGTGGAATGAATGACCCACCCCAGACCACTGGGGTGGCCAGCTTGTCTCTGAAGCTCCCCGGGTGACGGGAGAAGGGTGCCACTCACCTATCTAGGGGGAGGGAAGCAGGAAGGAAGGAGGAAGGCTCCCCAGTGTAACCCTTGAATTAGAACGAGAGGGGCTGCTCTGGGCAGGTGAACAGCAAGGGAATGGCATTCACCAAAGAGGGAAGAGCTCGTTGACAAATGGCAGGTGGCCTGGCTGGGCGGGAGCCTTTACTAGAAGAAGAGCTATGGACGTCCGTGGGCCTTGAATGTCAGGCTAACGAGGGGGCCTCTTGTTAGCCAGGACCCAGATGAAAAGTGGTCTCTCAAGGAAAGCTGCTGCTTCTCCCAGCTTGTGCTCCGTTCCAGTGCAATCCCAGGTAGTGGGTATCTCCAAGCCCAGGCCTGCCTCCCCGGCTTTCAGGGCAGAGGGAAGAACTGCCTGTGAGCTAGTGAATCTGCACAGTGTATGCCTGGTCAATAAATCACGGAGGCCTGGAACAGAACTCCTGGCCATTCAGCCGCTTGGCTCCTTTCCTTGGAGCAAAGTGTGACTTCCTTACTTTCATCATCGCTCCACCCGGTGCGGAACTTTGTTAACATTGTCGCGAATACCCAGCCATCGTTTTCTGTGTATATGTGCTGTCAGCAGGTACGATCTGTTTTATCTTTGGAAAGGAAGCTCATCATAGAACTAGCAAAAATGGGGAGCATTCTTCCAGCAGAAAAGTCTCCGAGCAAAGGAAGGAAAAGTGGGAGGCTACGTACTGTGGCATCTGGGCCTTCCAAACGAGGCCAGAGAAGAGCCGTTGTATCTGGGTGTTTACGGTAAAACAGCCAAAGGTACAGGAAGAGGCACCATAGACATAAAAGCCCCCCACCCCCACCCACCCCAGACGCTCACCCCCCATGACGGCCTGCAGAGTGGCCATCATGAGCGCTTTCTAGACGGTGCAGCAGTCATCACAAAACTGCTGAGAAAACATGAACCTTTCCCCAGCTGTGAAAATCCCAGCAGGCCTCTGGCCGGGTTTGAAAGACATCGAGCTGTAACTGTAATTGCCCCGCTGTTGGTTTCAATCCTGCAAGCCCCACGGTGATTGGCTTACACGAGCAGCTGGAACTTCAGGAAGCACAGCAGGCAGCAGACCCGCTTCTGCCGGGCTGGTGCCGGTCGACAACATGCTGGTGATCAGCGCCTCGGGGTGATGTCAATACAAGCAGTTTCGGGGCGCCTGGGTGGCTCAGTCGTTAAGCGTCTGCCTTCGGCTCGGGTCATGATCCCAGGGTCCTGGGATCGAGCCCCGCATCGGGCTCCCTGCTCGGCGGGAAGCCTGCTTCTCCCTTTCCCACTCCCCCTGCTTGTGTTCCCTCTCTCGCTGTGTCTCTCTCTGTCAAATAAATAAAATCTTAAAAAAAAAAAAAAAATACAAGCAGTTTCAAGAAGTTTTGCTTTAATAACCTGGGCTCCTGGGCTCAAAAGCCATGCCTTCCAAGTACCTTTTTCCCATTTGTTTAAGTTCAGATATGAAATTTCTGGTCATTTTTTTTTTAAAGATTTTATTTATTTGACAGAGAGAGACACAGCGAGAGAGGGAACACAAGCAGGGGGAGTGGGAGAGGGAGAAGCAGGCTCCCCGCCGAGCAGGGAGCCCGATGCGGGGCTCGATCTCACGACCCAGAGATCATGACCTGAGCAGAAACCAAGAGTTGGACGCTCAACCGACTGAGCCGCTCAGGTGTCCCTCTGCAGAGGTTTAAAGGGCACTTTGGATTTTCTTAGAATTGGCATGTCTCGCCAATTCCCGTTTGTAGAAACCAGTCAGTTGAGCTTTTTTTCTGATGTATTAAAAAAAAATCCAAATCCTCCAGAAAATGATTATTGAACATTGACTTTTTAAATTGTGCTCTTATTTCAGGAAATCTGTTGAAGTGGCTTCTTAGATTCTAATTGTTAGACCGGTCCTCAGGGGCGTTGAGGGTAGGGGGGCAGAACGAGCTGGTGGGTTGCTGCCATCTACTGACAGATGGTGGTAACAGCAGGTGCTTTTTTTAAGCCTCCCTGGACCTTGTCTATCATCTTAATCCTGGAGTGTCCTTGAGATGGGCGGAAAGCAGATTCACTCATTCCACAGTCTCACAGCTTCATGGGGCTACTCACAGCAGGCAAAATACGTTGTGTGATACCGTCCTCATCATCTTTCCATGGGTAGAACCATGTTTAAGCTAATATAAAAACAACTAAGAACTCAAAGGTCATAAATGGCAGCTTGAGGAGACTGAGCCACCAAGGGATCTGCTGGTCGAATGAACATCCTGTGTGTGAGGGAATGGAAGAGTCCCAGGGCTGCTCTGTACCAGCAGTTCAAAAGAATTTCCTCTCTGGCCGCCTCTATTAAAAGTGAGGGACGGTTCTGCTCGAATCTGTTTTAAAATTTATAAATGGTACTTTCTCATTTTTTAAAATATGGGCAAATAGACAAAAAGGTTAAAGTCATAATCACTCCACCAGTGTTAAACTTTGTAAACATTGTCATGAATACCCAAATAGCCTTTTCTCTGCCTATCTTATTAAAGATACCTAAACATCTGTACAGAACTCTTTTTTTTAATTGAAGTGTGGTGGACACACAATGTTACATTAGTTTCAGGTGTACAACATAGTGATTTGACAAGTTTATATGTTATGCTGTGCTCAGCATGACTGTAGCTCCCATCTGTCCCTATACAACACTCTGACATTACCATCGACTGTATTCCCAATGCTGTACTTTTCATGCCCATGACTTATTTACTCCGTAACTGGAAGTCTGACCTCCCCCTCCCCTTCACCCATCTGGCCCATCACTCCACCCTCCTCCCCTCTGGCAACCATCAGTTTGTTTCCTGTATCTATGGGTCTGCTTCTGCTTTTTGTCTATTCATTTGTTTTGTTTTTATATTCCACATATACATGAAATCCTATGGTATTTGTCTTTCTCAGCCTGACTTATTTCACTTAGCATTAGACTCTCTAGCTCCATCCATGTTCTCACAAATGGCAAGATCTCATCCTTTTTTATGGCCGAGTAATAGTCCATTGTATATAACCATTTGTACTAAACTCTTAACTGGAATTCTTTATCATAAAATTGTATTGGTTTTTTTTTTTTCTTTAGAAAATGAGAAAGTACTAAAGATTTTGCCCATTTTTGTTAAATTTGTTTCACTCCTTGATTACAATGAGCCAGGATTACTGATAAGCCTCTGTTGACAAGTTTAGTCCCTACATTTACTGTGTACGTGTGATGTGCGTACCTCCCTCCCCACAATTTTATTCATGCTTGACACACAGTAGGCACTCCGGAAATATTGCTGAGTGAATACAGGCCACTCACTCCACCCAGAAGTGTCCTCTTCCCCAAGCCTTCATTTGCCGGTGGAGATATTCTGTTGTTCAAATGCCACCTTCCTCCATGAAACTATCCTATGTTAAATGAGATAGAGTTTCTTGTTCAATTATATAAGTCACACATTTTTACAAAAATACAAAATATAGGAAAAAACCTCCTTTTACTGTCTCTTTATTGCTTTTCCCATCTCTGATGGGTATCAATTTGCTGTCTTTTCATACAGATAACATCTTTTAGGTGACTGTGTCTGGCTCATGCTCAAGCAATAGTTTATCCCACTCCCCAATATATAATCATTACTACATGTTGTCTTTACAATCACTGCCATCGATTGTCTTTACAAACAGATCTATGAGGTGGACATTGTTACCCCCCTTTAAAGGTGAAGAAACTGGAGTTAATATCTAGAGGGGGCTCACTGGTAAGATAAAACAGAAATCAACTTCAGCTTTAACTCCTCTTACTGTGTCTTGTCCTTGTCTGTTTCGTCCCTGTGCACTTGAACCACATTTTGTTCTGTTTTCTGGGTACCAGGGAAGTCTCTCTTAATTTGCAGATTGTTACCCCAGTGCACAGATCCTCCCACACATTGAGTCTCCACAAATATTTACAGAAAGAAAGAAAAGACTGATGAGACCCAGGGTCCCTGAGATGTCCCACGACAGTGGTGTGACATGATGTGTTCTTGCTGCTACGGCAGGCCTGGGGCTGGAGCTCAGCCTGAGCAGACCCAGCTAGGAATGGCGCCATCGAAGGGAAGGCCCATCTCCATTTGGGGAGTGTGGGTTGTTGTCATTTGGTTGGTTGGTTTTTGTTCTCTTAATCACTGGCTTTGTGTAGATGATAATCCATTTTAAGCGGTTTCATAATACAGTAGATGGTGGTATCATTAGGCCAGGTACATAGGAAAAGGAAAACACAGGAATGAGTGAATTGGAGAGAGGCAAGGGTCCATAGAATCTTCACCCAAACGAGAGGCACTTATCAGAAATCACAAATCTTGGGACAGAGAGAAAAACAGGAGAGCCGTTTATGTTCATGGGAATATTTTGGGTAAATAAATGAATATATCTTTCTGGCCCTAATTCTCTGATCCTGGAATCTGGGTGGACCCTCAATTGGCCAAAGGTACATAGAGTTCTAGCCCCTGCCCGACAGTCTCCTTTGCCCCAGAAAGCAGCATCTTTGATTAATCCAGTCAGGAATATTCTCTCCGACCGGGATAGATGGAATTCCCAGCCGTGGCTGTGCTGTCAGGTGCTCCCCCAAAACCATAGCATGAGCTTTCACAGAGGTCTGACGCTTGGGTTTGTAACTGTGCTGGTGTGGGTTTGTGAAGAGGGGGAATCTATTCTACACCTCATATCCCAGTGGCTTCCTTACAGGTCTGGCTGGTTTTGCTCGCCTCTGTCCGGGAGATCAATATGAAGTAAGTATCCTGTCGGTCTGCGGGTTGGAATCGAGGATTTGAGGGGCAGGAGTCAGGTGGCCATTATTTTGCTTTTAAATTGCCTTTTTTTTTTCCCTTTTACGTTTGTTGATTTTGAAAAAAAATTAAGCCAATGAGAAAGTTTGGAGATGGAGACCCCCACATACTCTTCATCCAGACACCAATTTTTAACATTATGTCACATTGGCTTTATTATTACTGCTATGATTGTTGTTATTGTGCTGAACCATTTTAGACTAATGCACAGACATTGGGACCTTTTGCCCCTAAATGATTTTCCTAAAAACAGAAGGACATGCTCTCCTATCTTCATTGTGCAGTTCTCAACACAGCTAACTTAACATTGGCCCTTTAGCTACCCTTACTTGTTATATGATCCATACTGATCTTTTCCCTAGTGTTCCAATGTTGTACTTGATAGAAGTCTTTTCTCCTGATGCAAAAGCTAATCCAGGATCATGAGTGCTCATAAAGAACACTAGTATCTAGACCTTTCTGTATAAAGATATACTCCATAAAGTAAAAAGCCTTTTATCTTTTCCCCTTTCAAAAGGGAACTTCCCTTAATTATTTTATCTAACTGTCTCCTCCAAAACACTCTATGATCGTTCTTCTTGGGGAGGGCAGGGGGAGGAGCACCTTCCTGTCTGAGCAAGGAGAGCTGGAGACCCTCTCCCGGGACTATGTCGGATTTCAGAATCCTTGTTCAGCTCTGTCTTCCTCATCCAGGAGGAGGGAGTCTTACTTCTTGCTTCTGGCTGCTAAGTAGATTTTAGCTGATGGTTTCTCCTCCCTGTAAGGGAGCCGGGGAGTAGTTCTCGTAGCCTCATGGGGGAACTGGTCCCCATGACCGCGGTGACACGGAAGGGCTCGGTGTGATGACCTTTTACTACAGAAGGCCCTCCACGCCCTCTTGGAGGGAAGCAGACCTTACTCCCCCTTGAAAGCCTCTTCTCCACTCCACCCCACCCCCGACCCTGGCCCCAGGAAATTTGGAAGAACCCACCAGAAGGGTAGATGGAAGAGGATGGAGAAGGGGAGGAGAGGCAGCTGCCTTATTTCCCTGCCTTTTTATCTTGGTGTTGGGATGGGGAAGGCCTGGAACCTGAGGTGTGGTTCTTCTCCGCAGATTTTCATGAAGTACGGCCGACAGAGGTGGAAGCTGAAAGGCAAGATAGAAGCCAATGGCAAGCAGAGCTGGGATGGGGAGGAAGTGGTGTTCCTGCCCCTGATCGTTGGATTCATCTCCATCAAGGTTTAGTATCATCTCCGCCCCTCCTTGTCTTCCCACTGCATGGCTGGGTGGCCCGTGGGTGGGGACCTGTGTTCATGACTGCTTCCCGCTGCCCCCCACCCCCGCCTCGCAGACTCCTCTCTGCACCCCGAGTCCGTGGTGAAGACCACTGCTCTCGCGCACAGGGGGCCGAGAAGAGCACGGGGGAAGTGTGCCTGGCCTTTCTCCCGTGCTCCCCTTAAGGCTTCCCTCCCCCTCTCTCACCAGGTCACAGAACTCAAAGGGCTCGCCACACACCTCCTGGTCGGCAGTGTGACCTGCGAGACCAAAGAGCTCTTTGCTGCCCGACCTCAGGTGGTGGCCGTTGACATTAACGACCTCGGCACCATCAAACTGAGCCTGGAGATCACCTGGTAGTAAGTGGCCCTTTTCTGTTCCAAAATCCGTGCTGCAGGCTAGGGCTGTTTCGAGGGTGGCGCTTGGACCGTCAGAGTCCCCAGGGAGCTCATCACAGGACATGCTCGGGTCCAACCGAGACCTTTGTCGGAACCTCTCAGGGCCTGAGGATCTGTCCCCTGGCTCACCAGATGATGCTCGTGCGCTGTTGTCTCCATAAGTGGAGAACCTGTCTTATCACTGTTCTCTCCTACTTCCTGTTTTAAAATACTTTATCCTGCTGCCTTCCCTCCCTGTCAACCGTTATATATATATTTAAAAAGATATAGCTCTTAATCAAGCTAATTTGGAAGGAAAATAACTGTCCAGTAGGAGATACTTCACCCTTGGAAAGATCCCGATTCTCGCTATAGGGTTTTCATCACCTCTCCCACTTCACCTCATATACTGTACGTGGCCCTCGGAGACTTTTCAATATCCTTCACACTCTCCTGCAATAGAACATTTCCAAAGGGCAAGAGGTACCTCTTGTCAGAGCAGTGAACTTAAAGGTGGTTTTCTGGGGGGCACGGGTGGCGCAGTCATTAAGCGTCTGCCTTCGGCTTGGCTCATGATCCCAGGGTCCCCTTTCCAATATGGAGGGTGAGCCACAGAAGGAGCAGGGACCCTGCTTCTTGTCACTGAAACACTGTCTGTGCCTTTTGCCCGGCCTTCCCTCCTTGTAATTTGTAGTCATTGACCTATCGAACACAAGATCATTCATCTCGCTGGATGAACCGGATGGCATGATGATAAGTTGTCATGGTGGACAGACTGTCCTCCTCGCAGGCTGCAAGAGTCTCTGTGTCCACGGAAGCAAGTGGGAGTCTACGTTTGTTTTCTTTAGAACAATAGTCTGTTACTTTCTTGTATTGTTAACCCGTCTGTCCCTGCAAAGCTCAAAGACTTTTTACAGACTTCAACATTGTGTGTTGGACAAGCATTAATGTTTACATTTCTAATATGAGCAGAGAAACAGGTTTATCTAGTGTCTAGGTGTATAGATAAGTTGCACTTAAAGCTAGAATGCTAATCTGTGGTCCCTTGGGTGGGTCTGGGCTCCGTTTTCTGCTCCACTTTCTTTTATCTTGGTTCATTTTCTGCCAGCCCAATTCCCACTGGTTTGAGTTGACTTTAGTATGATGAGGTGCTTTCTCAGCCTGCAGTCCAGGGGTTGGAGGGGACTTTAACGAATGTGCATTCATGGGATCTGTTGTGTTGCAGCCCATTTGATGTGGAGGACATGACCGCGTCCTCGGGCGCTGGGAACAAGGCGGCAGCCCTCCAGAGGAGAATGTCCATGTACAGCCAGGGTACTCCAGAGACGCCCACTTTGAAGGATCACTCCTTCTTCGTAAGTTCACTGTGATTTACGGAGGAGACATGTCAAACTCGCGGTGGGCCTTACACCCAGTATGTGAAACCCTTGACGTCCGGTGTTAGGGGTTCTCAGTAATTCCTGACCATGCTGATCCCAAAGCTCCCCCTAATCAAGGAGTGACCAAGAAAAGCATGTTCCAAGAGGCCCTGGGCCATCTGCACGCGGGCAGTAAACCTCCCATCTTCCCTCTCCCCTCGGCCCCCTGACCGCTTTGTTAACATGCAGACTTTTCTGGAGATTCTCTGAGGTCAGTCTCTTAGAGGAACGGATGTAAATAACGGTGTCCTTGTTGTAATCAGAAATGCTTGCTAGAACGCTAACGAAACATGGTAACCGGGGCTTTCCGCTAACTCCGCCATCTTGCTTTGACTTCTGAAGAGGTGGTTGCGGCCTTCAGCAGCCAAGCCGCGGCGGCTGTCTGTCTTGAGTGCCTTACAGGACACTTTCTTTGCCAAGCTATCCCGCAGCTGCTCTTTCAGTGACCTGCCCTCCCTCAGGCTGAGACCCAAGGCCGAGCTAGAGTTTTCCGTGAGTGTGGGTGGCCTGGCTGCGGTGCAGTGCTTGCCTCGGGGGGCTCGGGGCCCGTTTGCTTCATTCGGCGTGTCTCTCCTCCATGTCGCTCACGGGGCGGTGGTCACAGCTGTCCCGTCCCTGGGGCGGGCAGGGTGCTCCTGCATGCGCCCTCGTCACAGCCACCGCTTGACCCTCTCCCCCCTGCGCCCTGCTTTTGTGCTGTGATTTCTCGCCGCGGTGGCCAAGATATCCATGGTAACAAGATTGTCATTTTTGAAAAATACAATTACACTCGCGGGAAAAGAAGGTGTTCGCTCCCAAGTGAGGCGAGTTTATCACGAGGACAGTCTTCACACGTGGTTTTAGCCTTCAAAACCTGGGGTTCAAGGGAGTCAGAAGGCTTCAGGCCAGTTTTCCTAGAGCTATTTTTATTTAAAGCGGTTCTTAGCCTGAGTTTACGGGGTAGCGTCTGTTAGTTTTATACTATGTTAGTAAACGGAGCTCCTTCGATGGTGGAGTCAGGAATGCAATAGGTCGGCTACATTCTCTGTGTCACACATGCTGTCACGAGAGGATACACACACATGTACATACAGACGTGAAGAGCCTGCTCTTTGCAGACGTATAAAAGTTACTTTGGGGGGAAAAAGAAGAGTAATCTTTGAATGTGCAGAAAGGAAAGGACTAAAAGTTTTCTAGTTAATGATGATAGTAATCGCATCTAATTTGGTGAATTACAAAGCACAGGTGAGAAGGGCCAGGCTAACGCAGTGGAGTTTCCAAGGCAATTGGGAACGTTCTAGGAGGGAAATGTGTGTGAACGCATGGATCAAAAAACGGATGTATAGTGGAAGCAGTTGTATACGTAACTATCGATATAACGTGTGTACTCATGCTCACATACTGTGAGTTGTGGAGGGAGTTGGTAGGGGTTTTAATGGCATAATTTAAATGAGAGCAAGATTAGAAAAAACTCGATGGCTTCCCGTGGCCTTTTGGATAAAGGCGGATTCCTCAGAGCGGCTGCACCCGTCTGGCCCTCAGTGCAGCTTGCCATGCCTGCCATTGCCCGTTCTTGGTCCCCTTCTCCAGCCCCCTGAACACCCACCACCCTCCAGCTCCACCACCCTCTTCGGGGGCTGCCATCTGTACGCACACACTGTTCCTTCCGGAAGGCACTTCGTCCTCCTCGCCTACACCTCCCCATCCTGCGGGGCTGAGCTCCGGGACCACCTGTTTCCCGGGCAGCAGCCTTGCCCGTGCCGGGATCCTGCCTCATGATGCCATGCCTCAGTTAGAACACACTCCCTCGCACTGTCGTGTGTCTGTTCATGGGCTCGTCCCCTTGGCATACCGTAAGTCCCCTCAACTCAGTCTAACTCCACGCTGTCCACTTACATAGGCACAAATTGGCTTTAGGAGCACGAGGCCCAAGAGAAATCGGCTTGAGGAGCATGGGGCCTCCCACCACCCCAAGCTGCCAGGCGAGGTGCTTTGAAGATGAGATGAGATGGGGCAGGACCACCTGGAGGGCCCAAGGCTTCTGGGGGATGCCTAAGGGACCCCCGTTCCTACCATAAGTTCCCCCTTTCTCTCTCCTTGAGGTGGAAGGTGTGGGGTGCAGACAGAGGACACTGAATTAAACAATCACTGGAGCCCTTGGGGCCCCACCTGCTCCTTGGCAGCTGCTGAGAAGGTTCCAGAATTCCTTCCACCCTCAGCACCTCTGAGTAGCACACTTCGGGGATCATTAACAGAAGAAAACATTCTTTAGAGGCGACCCTGAGCCTGCAGATGTTACTTGAGTGCCCCGGGGACCCATCCTTTTACTCATCCCGTGGTTAAAATGAATCGCCCTCCAACCCGATGAGAATGGAAAGTTTGGGTTGAGCTAACTGCACATGTTAGGATCTGGGGGGCCCCGATCCAGCAGTGGGGGGACCAGGAACACTGCTGGGGAGGACGGGGAGCTTTTGTCTTTCTGTCTGCTCCCATTTCACTGCCGGAAACATTTTTGTTTCCTGGGCTTATTCCCAGCACTATTGTGATCATTCCTTGCTGCCCATAGAATTCAAGTAGGCATGAGCTTGGTACTTACCATTTACTTAAAAGATCAAATCCAGAACCCAAGAGAAATCATCCATTTCGAAGGAGCTGATCTCCAATCACTAGAAAACTTTTTCCACGGAGCAGCATTTGGGAAGTGAGAGACCACACAGACCACAGCACAGGGAGCGATGACTTGGAAATCATTTCAATGCCTGCATAAACAAATGATCTTGATTACCTGGATATTTGTGACCTCTCTCCCTTCTGAGTTCTGCTTCATGAATCACAGCGTACCTGACCCAGCCTGGGTCAGCTTGACAAGAGGACGTGGTGTTTCTAGACGCCCCAAGAGTTCTGGCTTTGCAATCCTGAAAAAGAACCAAAACATCTTTTTCTCCCATTTTATGGAGGCTTTGCAAGTATATTCCTGGCCTTCAGTTATTTGTGGCATGGTTACTAAATTAATAGAACATTTTCAAGGACTTGGGATTTGTGGGTAGAGATTCTTTTAAAATAATTTACGAGAACTGAAGCAGAACAAAGCAGCACATCTTTTGAGTGAACTAGCATGAGTGTTGGAAAGTCTTTTAAGACAAATGCCAAAAAAAAAAAAAAAAAAAAATGTGGTAGTGTTATTCATAGCCGTGGCTGCCAAATACTGCGAGATCCTGGATTTTAGGAAACAGGCTCTGTTCCCTCCCCGCCCCCTATCTTTCCTTTTGAAAAATGTCAAACCCAAGAATAGAATAATGAACTTCGACCTAGCTGCAACGCCAGAAATGGTTTGTAAGGGCTTGTTTTCTTTTGCCACATTTCCAACCACAAACACACACACGTGTGTGAACACACACGCATGCACAGAATCAACAACTAACATGTTAACGTTATGAAAGTGCTGGTTGTGTATTTTCATTGCCTGGCATTTTGTCTGGAAATAAATCACACCGAGCACATCACTCATATTTAAAATAATAACGAGATGCCTTTTATCCACAGTCTAATCTACCTGATGACGTCTTTGACCACGGAAAGGCAGCTGAGGAGAAAACGCCCCTGTCTCTCAGCGTCAGCGACCTGCCCAACGGGGACTGTGCCCTCACCCCCCACCCCACCGGCTCTCCGTCCACCACGGGCTCAGCAAATCCAGAAATTACCATCACCCCCTCAGAGCTCAGCCACAGCAACCTGGCCTCCCAGAACGAGGGCACGGAGGACTCCGGCTCAGCATCTTCCAGAAGCTCCTCCAGAGGAGGCCCAGAGCCAGAGCCACAGGTGAAGGAGGACACAGACGGGCCCCGGACCCCTGAGGCGGGCCAAGCGTCTGCAGGGGCCGGCCCGGCGCACCTGTTCCTGGAGAAGGATGTGGCAGAGGCTCTCCTGCGAGAGTCTGACGAGGCCTCTGAGCTCAAGCCCGTGGAGCTGGACACGTTCGAAGGAAACATCACGAAGCAGCTGGTCAAGAGGCTCACTTCGGCCGAGGTGCCGGTGGCCACGGAGAGGCTGCTCTTTGAGGGCTCTGTCAGTGGAGAGTCCGAAGGCTGTAGATCCTTCCTCGATGGAAGCTTGGAGGATGCGTTCAGTGGGCTATTCCTTGCATTAGAACCACATAAAGAGCAGTACAAAGAGTTTCAGGATCTGAACCAGGAAGTCATGCGTTTGGATGATATCCTAAAAGTAAGTACCATTTTAGGGAAATTGGATTAGGTTTGGAGAGAGGTGTCTGGAGCCAACATCCTCTTGAAAGTTGTGTATCTTTATGTTTTATCCTGTTTCATCACAGAACCGATAATCGTCATTTGAATGGCACTGAGTTTTAAACACCAGGAGCGCATGTTCATTTTTATTTCCCTGACAGCAGATCAGCTTCACTAAGATGATTAGGAGTTAAATCACCAGCCCTGAGGAATGTCTGAGCTCCTCCAGCCCCAGAGTTAGTCACTGCAATCCCAAATGGGAAAGGGAGGCATTTTGAGGATCATAATCTCACTGAGATGCGACTGGATAGAGTCCCTTCCTGACCGAAGTCAAGAGTCAGGCAACCCCGATGTGGGAGCCACAGGCCCATCTCCCCACCCGGCCTCCCCCTGCACCCCCCGCCCTGCCTCCCCCTGCATCCCCCTTCTCTGGTCTGGTCCCGACCCGTGAGTCAGAACCTGCGATTACTCATGCACGAATCACCATCTCCTGTGCTCTGGAAGTCAGGGACCCCCAAGGCCAGCAGAGCTATCCTTCTCAACCCTGCTCCTGGTCAGACAGCTCAGGGTGGACCAGGTGGGAGGGGAGATCGAGAGGGATGCTTTCCTCTCAGGCCGGGGGAGGACCTAAGAATGAGGTTATGGTTGCTACACCAGAGCAGATATGTTGTCACGGGGCATATGGATCAAACTTTTTAAAACACCGCGCAGGAAGACAGAAGCTGAATTTTGTCCCGAATCCCACTGCCCCCTCTTGTGTTCTTGGCTTTGCGACTCTGGTATTGCTCTACAGAAGAGAAATTGGATCCTTTTCCACGAAAGAGCTGTTCTTTGGTGACCTTTCCTATCAAATGGGCTTGAAAATAAGGTGCCGGGGCAAGCTGAGATTCAGCCCACAGAAGGCTGTCTCATCCCCTTGTATGACTGTTCGTAAAACATGGTCTTTTTAGTGGCACATGGAAACACATTTCCAGGGCTTTGCTGACTGTCTTACCCTTCTCGGTGGTGCTTACCTACCTCCGAGGGGTTTGGTCCCCAGGGCAGATGAGACTTCCTGCCCCAACTCTCCAGGTCCTCCAGTGCTCATGACAGACTAATTCAGCTGCAAGTACACCCTCTGAGAAGCAGGCCAGGGCTCTCTGAATCTGCTTTCTGGAAAACACTTCTCAGAAGCCCCCGCTCAGGACTCAGGCATGGAGGCTGCTTGTCTAATTCTCCAGTGAAAACACCTTCTACTCCCTCAACAAACTGTTGTGTTCAGAGTTGACCAGCTTTGCTTAGTGGGCGAAAGGTGTGAAATTTAAAGACACAACTGACCCCCACCTACAGCAAACGCCTTAGAGAAAGCGAGTGGGGAGAGCAGCTCCCATTTCTAGGCATCTAGATGGCTGGTAAGTAGCTGGATCCACCAGCGAACACTGAGCAAGCCATCTGTGAGTCTTATAAACACCTGGTGGTCACAGATTTCTTTCCAGAGTATTATTTCAATCTGCTGTTGTTCCAACACGATCCTGCCTCTAAAATCCTTAAGTGTCCATCCCTTTGTTACGATAGATATTTGAACACATCCATCCTGCGTGAGGTCAAGTTCGGCAGATAGCTAATTAAGAAAGAAGACCCTAGGACTGGGTTGCGTCTGGACTGGCTCCTTCTCGCTCTCTGTGATTGAAAACAGCATTCGAGTTTAGGTCTGGGGCAAGTGGCTGTGGATCCAGCCGGAATTAAAGCATCTGCTAGACAAAGCTTTCTCTTTTTCCCCCCTTCACATTCCCAGGATGCTAAGCCTCTTGAGGATCAGAAACTAAATGATGCTGCCTCTGGGACGGAGATCACTGAGGGTGAATGAAACAACTCTGATTTAAGAGACCAAAAGACGGTTTCCCCTGTGCTTTTCCACCTTGAGTCTCAGAGACAGATCCCCGCCAGGCACTGCCTGCCTTATGTTACGAAGTGAGCAAGGAGGGCCACCTAACTGGATGGAGGACCTTTGGTTCTTCTGCCTTGCAGGACTGGTCCCATTCAATGCACCCCAGCGTCCGTCCTCTTGAATACTTGGAAGGACGTGTTTCCATCCCTGTGCCCTTGGCAGCTGATGTTGTTCTGTTTGTCATGCTTCTGTCTGTGTCCGGCAGACCCCGGAGTGGGTGTGCTCACATAATCCCAGGGCCCAGTCAGGGAAGCGGCGGAACTTGTCCCTGCAGAGGTAAAGCCATAGAGGACGCGGGGCTCCTTCCTGCGCCGCCCATGCCCTTCCTTTTCTCCTCGACGCACAGAGCCAATTACATGCCATGAATGTAAAATTAATACTGAAGTCTACTTACGTAGGGAGTATGAGTTGGGTGAGTGGGAGTCGTTTTCTCTTTCTGGGGTTGGTTTTGTTAATCCTTTAGAACAGGTTCCTTGGGCAGCCAGCTTCTGTCTCAGGACAGTGCAGACATGACCACATAACCTTACGGACTGGTTAGCATTTGGCATTGACCCCATGACTCTTTAGATTTGCCTGCTGGTTGTATTTTCTTTGGGGTTGAGCACTAGGCAGAGGGAGGGCTCGAGCAGTTCTGTTTCCCAGGGCTTTCTGGGCTGTCGTATTCCCTCAACTTTTCATTATAAAACTTTCAGGCAGAAATAGAGAGAATCCTATAATGCCTCCCCATGTGCCCATGGCCCCCACCCCCGGCTTCCACAGTGTCAACTCATGGCCAGTCTTGTTTTGTCTGTTCTTCTCCCTGCTTCTTTCCCTCCAGATGATTTTGGAACAAACCCCAGATACTGTGTCATTTTATCCATCATTGTACTTTTTTTTTTTAAATATGAAGATTTTAAATGCATTTTGTTTTAACGCCAAGCTCAATAAAAAAATAAAAGCTTGAAAAAAACCCAGAAAGTGTCACATCTCAAGTTGAATGTTGTGTGCCGCGTTTTCTGCTTCTGGATGTGTTGATCTTCTCCCTGATGCCTTCTGCCTTTGCAGTGCAAGCCAGCCGGAAGCCGCAGCAGGTCTTCCAGTTTAAGTCTTACAGTTGAAAGTGCTTTAGAAAGCTTTGATTTCCTGAACACCTCTGATTTTGACGAGGAGGAGGAGGATGGTGATGAGGTTTGTAATGTTGGTGGAGGCGCGGACTCAGTATTTTCAGACACTGAGACTGAGAAAAATAGGTAAGTGTAAAGTTCTGTGCTTACACCTCTAAGATCTGTACAGTGGTCCTTTGTCACTCTCGGGCGGCACCTGGGTACCTGTCCGGGAGGAGAACTCCCCACAGGACTGGCCATTGCCTTTCGGTTCCCCGTTATTGTTGAAGACAATTTTTGAATATCATTAACCTCTTTTGTGCAGTTCAAGAAAAAATGAATTGCTTTCTTTTCTTCCTCATAAATGAAGGGGACATGTTTGTATGAGTGTGTGTGTGTGTGCGCCTACATCTTAGAGGGTTTGGGGTCTACAACCTGACCCCAGTGTAATTAATTCTAAATTAACTAGATATGCTATGTTTCCGGAGAACTCTTACTGGATGATCCGTTTGTACTTGGTTCTCGTCCGATTTCTAATCTCTTCATTTTGTTATGCTCTGCTTTTTCCACCCCTTTACCTCTTGCCCCCTTTGGCAAAGTAGTTGTAGATCAAGCTCATCAGTGCCCATATCCAAGCCAGGTTCAGCCCCGGCCACCTATTTCTCTTAGAACGAGGGATGCCCAACTGATCACTGAGAACTGATTGCTTTGTTCTCCAGTCTACCAGGTGGAGAATGCGCCTTCTCTGGGGCGGGCAGGGGTGAGGCAGCAGGAAGGGACAATGAAGGTGAAATACCATCACCTTCTCCATCAGGCTTTCTTGGACAGCCAGAACTTGTGTTTGGAGCTAGAGTCTGGGGTCTATTTTGTGACTTCAGCTAAAGCAAAACAAGCACAGTTGAGCATACTCACCTTCATTAACTGTTGGGGTGAGACCCACACATACTTTCCCGAAGGAAAGGGTGGATCTCCACCATCTTTACCTTTGACATGTTATGCAAACAAGTTTTCAAGTCACAGGGAGCTCCAGCTATCCCATCTTCACCAACCTCTCTGTGGGTGATGTTCCGGTAACATTTTTGAGGGCTTTCTTGTCCCTAGAGGGCTCATTCTTCCAAAATCAGGAAACAAAAATGTGAGAAACAGAATTTTTTTTTTAAAGACTTTATTTATTTGAGAGAGAGAGAATGAGAGAGAGAGAACACATGAGAGGGGATAGGGTCAGAGGACGAAGCAGACTCCCTGCCGAGCAGGGAGCCCGATGCGGGACTCGATCCCGGGACTCCAGGATCATGACCTGAGCCGAAGGCAGCTGCTTAGCCAACTGAGCCACCCAGGCGCCCGTGAGAAACAGAATTTATCCACTGAGCAAGCTGAGGGCATGGCAAACAAAATGTAATGAATGGAAGGTTGACGTTATGCTCCTACATTCTGTGCTGAGATTTTTCTAACCTGATCGAACTTGTGAAATGCTTCTAAACCAAAAATCCGTCTACTCGTTAGCTTAAGCTGTTACATGATATGTCAAAGTCAGACATCGGTCTAAACTCTTACTCTTGTTGCCGTCAGAAGCATCTTCACAACAAAAACATTGTGGGTTGGGGCGCCTGGGTGGCTCAGTTGGTTAAGCGTCTGCCTTCGGCTCAGGTCATGATCCCAGGGTCCTGGGATCGAGCCCCGCATCGGGCTCCCTGCTCCGCGGGAAGCCTGCTTCTCCCTCTCCCACTCCCCCTACTTGTGTTCCCTCTCTTGCTGTGTCTCTCTCTGTCAAATAAATAAAATCTTAAAAAAAAAAAAATCGTGGGTTTTGTACATTTTATAGACCGTTGATATTGAATTGTCTAAAATGCTTGATTTTATGTCATCAGCGGGATTAGGGGAAATTGTAGAAATTGTGTGTGTGTTTTAAACATGTGCGGATGGCTGGGACAGAGAGTGCTTTCCCCTTGGAGGCAGCTGGGGGTTGGAGTAAAGCGCTCAAGGCCTCTAAGCTCGGGTGCACGATCTTCTTAAATCACGGGCTGGGGGCATGAGCCCAGGAGCCACCAGCTGCCTGGCCCCCCGGCTGTGTAACAGGACACGGTGGTGACTATCTCTGCCAGGCAGCCCTCCCTCGTGTGAAATGAGACTACTCCCTCTTTCCCACACAGATTAATTTTCAGAACAAAATTGGATAATAGAAGCAGCAGAAAATGTAAGTGCCCATCGTGATACAGCTTGAGACAGCTCCACGGTGAGGCTAAAACCGGGCAGGAGAGGCAGAAGCAGGCGCCTCCTGGAAGGATTCAAATGCCCCCTTGTAGCCTTTGTCTGGGGCAGAACATCATGTCTCCTGTTGGCAGCTTTCCTTTTTTTCCTTTTCTTCAAGTAGCAATTGATCTGAGGCCAAGAAGACGCCTTGACATTGCTTCTTGATGGTATTGCTCTTGGGGGCCACTGCAAATATAGAGAGTGGCTTAATCCCAGAAACTTTGGCAAAGCACCCCCATCCACAGAGCAAGAAAGTGTAGCAAGTGCAAAATGAGAGCCTGTCTCAAAGACTCCTTGGTGTGCCGGCTTCACAAACGGCTCATTGTGCTTGGGCGGCAAACAGAGAACTCTGGAAGCAGTCTGTTTGCGTGATCTTTTAACAAGGCAAATTGGTGGCCAGGCTGAACCAAGAAGTAGCTTTTGAAAGGTATCTCGGTTTTTCAAGGCAGGCTTAGTGGAAGCCTCCTTTTCGGTAGGCACCATGGGGCAGGGGGGCCTTCCCTCATTTTGTTGAGGTGACCTGGCGTTTCTGTGATGAAAGAATCTAACATCTCGCCCCCCTTCCTGGTTCAGCACTTACAGATCAGTACACCCCGAAGCCAGGGGGCACCTCAGCGAAGCGCTGACGGAAGACACGGGAGTTGGGACTAGTGTGGCCGGAAGCCCCCTGCCGCTGACCACAGGCAATGAGAGTCTGGACATCGCCATTGTCGGGCACCTTCAATACTGCACCCGGCTCGTTCAGGTGGGTGACCGTGTTGGCTTTAGAGCCCAGGGTGTGGGTGCACAAGCAGGTGGGCTTCCTTTCTCAGTTATGCCCGAGAAAGGAAAATTCAGGAATAAGACAACAGTCCTCCTTCGAGTTGGGCCAACTCAAACATTCTCGTGGGCGTGGCCATCCTCCCTGGACCCAGGGGTTTTCTGTCTTAAAACCTAGCTCTCCACACTTTATTCTTTTTTTCAGATTTTATTTATTTGAGAGAGAGGGAGAGAGAGCACAGCAGGGGGAGCGGCAGAGGGAGAGGGAGAAGCAGGCTTCCCCGCAGAGCAGGGAGCCCGACATGGGGCTCGATCCAGGACCCCGGGACCCTGACCTGAGCCAAAGGCAGACGCTTAACCAACTGAGCCACCCAGGTGCCCCCTAGCTCTCCACACTTTAAAAGGTCATAGGTTAGCACTTGATCTCAAATCATTTGATAAAAGAGAAATATGACTAAGGAAAAAAAAATTGTATTCTGCCATCTGCAAATGAATGGACTTTGAAAGCAGGAGTTACGAGCGTCTGTTAACGTGCAGTTGTCCCCTGACTTAGCTTTCTACCACCTGGACAGCTAAAGGCAAAATGCTGCAGGATATAACCCGGGCTTTCCAGATCTTGAATAAATACCTATCAGCAATGAGAACGAATACTTTCATAGGCCATTATCATCACCAGTTAGCTCTCATCCTGGGACACTGGGGGCTTATTTTTCTTTTCATTTCAGGTTGTTTACCGGTTAAGATTTTGTAACAGTGGAGCAAATATTTCAAAATTCTTTTGTTGCAGGAAGTGCTTTAGCTTCTTGAACAAAACGTTTTCCCTGAGCATCTACTTAAATGCTTCCTCCTTGCCTGGTTGCCTGTCTGCTCCAGCCTACTTGCATGTGTGGGGAACAGGATGAGAATGGGAAAGCAAACGTAATGGTCTTCCGGGGGGATTGGCCAGGCAGGAAGGGTGTCAAAGAAGGAGGAATCATGCTCCTAAGAGCAGGGGACCCACTGGAAGACAAGAGGCAGGGTAAGGAGGAAGGGGTCGCATAGAGGCCAGAAGTGGGTTAATGTGCTTCTTCCATAATACATTTGTGAGGAGATGTAGAATATGCTTCTCCTCCACGAATAAAGAACCGCAAAGTCACCTCAGACGCTGTGGGAAACTGGTTGGCAATTAGGACTCTTGCACTAACTTGGCCAACGTCCCAGTTGATCTCTTCTGTTGACTGTCGAATTTGTAAGCCATTTACTGACAATCTGGCAGGAGGTGCAATTTTTTTTTTTTTTCAGGCCAAAATGGGCAAGGATTGTGGTTTACTTTATAGCTCTTCTCTATTCCCCAACTACTTGAATGAGACAGTTTTCACAGTTCTTTGTCCTTGCTGAGCCTGATTCTGGGCTGAGCCTGATTCTGGGCTGAGCCAGCGACCCATTTGCCTTTTAGAGGGAAAGCCATTATTTTGTGAAACGTAAGAGAATTCTCTTCCATGAAGGAATGGATGTTTTCTCTCAAAGACGAATTGGCAAGCAATATTCAGTGCCATGTTCTTGTCTGTACTCAGGCCATGGTTATAACAAGTCAGCTCTTCTGTGGGGAAGATCAGCGCCAGCAAAACAAAAGAGGTAGATATAAAGATGTAGAATGAAGGAGTAAGGATTAGAAACTTAATTTCTAACTCACATCCACTGCTGAATCGGTGAGTTAATGTCTTCATTTGGTATATAATTGCAAAGAGATAAAAATGGGCATTCCATAAGGATCATAATAGCTATAACCATGCCCCAAGTCAGTTCATTTCTACTGTATTTACTTACATGAAAGGCATCAGTACATAATTGCTACACTAGACCTCTGAATTTGAAAATCCTATTTGTGTAGTCTAGAGGATTTCATACAGGAAGACACTACAGGCTGCATCCTGCATCCATGCCTACCACGTGATTGGGACAGGTCTCCGAGGGACAAAGAAAGGTCGAGAACGTTCAGGCAGCAACTGACTTCTGTCCTCATGCCCTTGACTCTTGTGACCTGCACATAGGTGAAATCACTTGCTATTTATGTGGCCTTGGGCACGTTTCTTGATCTCCCTGGCCTCAGTTTCCTCAGCAGTAAAATGGAATATCAAGGGGCACCTGGGTGGCTCCGTCTGACTCTTGGTTTCGGCTCAGGTCGTGATCCCAGAATCATGAGATTGAGCCCTGCTCAGCTCTGAGTCTGCTTGGGATATTCTCTCTCCTCTTCCCTCTGCCCCTCTCCCTGCTCGGGCACTCTCTAGATAAATAAATAAGGAAGGAAGGAAGGAAGGAAGGAAATAAATAAATAAATAAATAAATAAATAAATAAATAAAATCTTTGAAATGGACTATCAATAGTACCCACCTCACAGGGTGACTGTGAGAAATAGCATGAGCTAATACATGGGCTCAGACCAGTGCATGGTACATAAAAAGCACTCGTTAATTAGAACGAGGTAGTCTTGATTATAATCATGATTATTCTACAACACGTTCTTAATTTTCAGCTTGAAAATAAGGAATGAAATCCACGCTGTGAAAAATTACTACTTGTAAAATAAATCTTTTTTTCTGTTAGCACACAGATAAGCAGCCTAAATATGCCTTCCAAGTCTCAAAGAGGATTTACAGAGTCACAATACATAAAAGCAAAGGCAACGTTATAATAACCTTGCAGCTCTATTATTGAGAACGTTCCAGAATCTATTTGGGCGCGAAAAAAACGTTTAAAGCAACAAAAACATGGGTGTGATTTCATCAGATGCTGTCATCGGCATGGAATGAGGAACATTCTCAAACTGGAACCAAACCCCCGAATGGGTTGAGTTATCCTCACCGCCGAGTTAGGACAGAGGAGGTTGGGCCCGGAAACCCTGGTCGACAACAACCTAACTGACTCACTGGTTCTGTTTGTCTCCTCAGCAAATTGTTTTCTCAAGCAAAACCCCATTCGTGGTGAGCAATCTCTTAGAGAAGCTTTCTAGGCAAATCCAGGTGGTGGAGAAACTGTCAGCAGTCAGCCATGAGAACATAGGGAACATGAGTTCCGTCATTGAAGGTAAGCGAGCTGCGCGTCACACCGCTGTCCACGCAGACGGCGGCCACTGGCCCACACTCCTTGGCCACATTCATCCTTGCTGTGTCAGGACGGCAGGAGCCCACGCTCGGGCCCCAACGTGGAGGAATGGCTGCACACTGGAAGACACCAGGGTCTTCCAGGTGAGGTCTGATGAAGCCTCGAACAGAAGGCCCTGTAGGTTCTCCTCGTGCATTTGTGCCCCCTCTTCGGCTCCTCCCGGGCGCGGGGGACCTTGGCACATGGCTGAGAGGCAGGAAAAGGGATCGGACACTCAGGGTGCGAGTGACCCATGTCCTCCCCGCTCCCAGGCGCCTCCTCGTGATCACAAGCACACGCAGGAGAAACGCCGACCCTGTGCGGCCTGGCACGATGCTCTTCATGAGTTCAGCCCGGGAGCCCCCCGGGCAGCGTGTCAGACTCCTCGAGCCACCTCCCGCTCTGTGTCATCCCCTGCAGAAAAACCGCCTGAGGTGTCCTTCTCTGGGCCTATACGGTGTTTTGCTGTTGAGTTACCAGAGAGGAGATGGTGGGAGCATCTTCCAAGCGTAGAGCTACTGTGTTTTCTCTCACTAAAAGCAAACAGCTTTGCTTTTGCTGCATTTTCTTGGCTGCCCAGGCTAGAGGAGTTCCTTAATAATAACGTCTTTGCCCTTTGGAAAATCTGTCACATACAGAGGAATCTTGTAGTTCCAATTCAACACCACAATCTTTAGGGGACGCCCGGCTGGCTCGCCTGGCAGTCAGTGGAGCCCGCGACTCTGGATCTCGGGGTTGTGCATTCAAGCCCCACATCGGGTGTAGAGCCTACTTAAAAAAAAAAAAAAATTTAAAACTATAGTCTTAAGGGCACCTGGGTGGCTCAGTTGGTTAAGCGACTGCCTTCGGCTCAGGTCATGATCCTGGAGTCCCGGGATCGAGTCCCGCATCGGGCTCCCTGCTCGGCGGGGGGTCTGCTTCTCCCTCTGACCCTCCTCCCTCTTGTGCTCTCTGCCTCTCATTCTCCCTCTCGCAAATAAATAAAATCTTAAAACAAACAAACAAACAAAAAAACTATAGTCTTAAGAAAAAGAGAGAGAGAAAGAGAGAGGCCCTGGTGCCGGCCCCGCCCCCGCGCAGGTACATCTCTTCATCTGCTTCATTCAGAACGTGCGTCGTGGGGTGGGGGCTGCTCTTCTCTTCCAGCCATCCCAGAATTTCACAAAAAGCTGTCTTTGCTGTCCTTCTGGACCAAGTGCTGCAGCCCAGTGGCCGTCTACCACAGCTCGGCCGACCGAGTGATGAAGCAGCTAGAAGCTGGCTTCGCCAGGACCATCAACAGAGAATACCCAGGACTTGCAGACCCAGGTACGGGGCAGTGGTGGGGAGGAAGGCGTCTCTGCCGTTGACTTGCAGGTGGGCACCGGCGGGTTCCCGCCCCCCTTCCCCTGGGACAGGCTGACCCTGCAGAGGAAGCCTCGTCTACTCAGTGCCATCGAAGGAAAGAAAGACTTGAACGTGTTTTAATTCAGAGTATCAGCAGTGACTTCTAAAAGCACTGTGTTTCTGTATGGCCATTTAGGTGGCTGTAGACTTTTTTCATTAAAATGTCACCAAAACGAGAGTGTCACGGGGGATAACCACTTGGGAAAAACTGTTTGGCATTTTCTCCTAAAGCTAAATATACCCCTACCCTATGACCCAGCGACTCCGCTCCTAAATATATCAAGGGAGATACATGATTATACTCACAAAAACGGACACGCCTAAAAAAAGGTTCATAGCAGCTTTCTTCACAAAAGCTGAAAATAAGAAACAACTCAAATGCCTACCAACAAGAAAATGAATGTATTCTGTGTGTCTGTATGTATATAGAATGTGTATATATATATAGTATTATGTGTATGTATATATTGTATATATATATATAGTAACATTCATACAATAAGGTATTACACAGCAGTTTTTAAAAAGAATAATAAATTACGGGGTGCCTGGGTGGCTCAGTTGTTAAGTGTCTGCCTTCGGCTCAGGTCATGATCCCAAAGTCCTGGGATCGAGCCCCACATCGGGCTCCCCGCTCGGCGGGAGGCCTGCTTCTCCCTCTCCCACTCCCCCTGCTTGTGTTCCTGCTCTCGCTGTCTCTGCCTCTAATAAATAAATAAAAATCTTTAAAAAAAATAAAAAATATATTAAAAAAAAGAATAATAAATTACTGCTACAAGCAACAATTTAGATGAATCTCACAGATATTTTGTTGAGTAAAAGGGGCCAGATACAAAAAGTACATTCTAGATAATTCCATTTACATGATGCTCAAGAACAAGTGAAGCTAATACGTGTTGACAGAAGTCAGATTATTAGTAACCTATGGTGCTCGGGGGTCACAAGCTCACCCTTGGGGTGCCGGCCGTGTTCTGTAACTTGACCCAAATGGCAGTCACATAGGTGGGTGTACACATAGACGCAAAACTCATGCAGCCTCACTCTGAGGATCAGCTCACCTGCCGGACTTCGCCCTGCCATGTACCTCAGTAAAACATGAATGAATGGTCACGTCTCCTCAAAGCTGCTTCCCCTCTTTCCCTTCCAAACAGTGTTCCGCACCCTGGTCTCCCAAATCCTGGACCGGGCTGAGCCTCTGCTCCCCTCCAGCCTCCCTTTGGAAGTCATCACTGTTTTCCAGTATTACAGTTACTTTACCAGCCACGGTGTGAGCGACCTCGAGAGTCACGTGAACCAGCTGGCCAAGCAAGGTGGGACGCGTTGCTGGCTCCCTTTGGAGTCGGCTCCGGGCTTTTCAGTCGTAGTTTTTAGTGATGAACCTTTCCTTTTCCCCCAAGTCAACAGCTGGGATCAGATCTGCCTTTTCAATGACTTTTGGACCCTTAACATTAGCGAGCCTCTTGGCAATGAAGCGGGGATTTATGAAGAGCATCCCAATCATCCAGAAGGGATGTAGTGTTGACGAGAAGCTACTGAATGATTTACTGATGTAATTCCTTTTCTTCATTAGTGTATAGTATTTGCCATTAGTGGGATCAAGTCTACAGGCAGTACTATTTTAGGTTGCCCTTTTTGGTGGTGCTTTCATGATAATAAGCAGAAGTGGGGTTCACAAGAAGGCAGATGCAGTGACATGTTGATAAGGGAAGGAGGGAGGATGGAAAACCAGATCTCCGGCTGGGAATCCAGGAAATGAAAAGAATGGGCACCAGCCTAGGAGTGTGGCATGAAGCTTATTGCAATGATGTGGATGGAACTAGAAGGTATTCTGCTTTCTTTTTACTCGCTAGTTTCCTTGATTCAGACTCTGCAATCGCTGAGAGATGAGAAACTGCTGCAGGCCATGAGTGACCTCGCACCCAGCAGCCTCCCAGCCCAGCAGGAAGTACTCCGGACCCTGGCCCTGCTGCTCATGAGGAATGACAGCCAAGTGAGCCAGGCTGTGATGCTTTACCTGGCCGCAGCCTCCAGAGATGAGCATTTCAGGGAAAAGGTAAAGCCCCAAATCATGGACATCAAGCCAGAAGCTTGTTTAATTTTCTATCATTTACTATGAATATTTTGCCATCTGTTTTTTATCAAAATAATTTTCTTCTGCCTATTAATAACATATAATCTGTCACACCACATAAACTACAAAAATATACTGCAAATATTTGAGCGCCTATAAGTCCAGCCCCCAGAGAGTACTGTTAATAATTTGGTGTATGTTCCTTCCAATGTTTTTCTACATATCTGCTCACATATATAATTATTTTTTCCTTAAATGAGATCACACTGTTCTGTTGTGTAACTGATTTCTTAAATGTACTATGTCATGGTGATTTTCCTTGTTAGAACATGTTGATCTACTTCATCCCATTTGATGGATTAATGTACATCTCAGGGCATGGATATTCCCTAATTTATTTTCTCGTTCCATATTGATCGGCATTAGTCTAGTTCCCCACTCTGAAAAATATCATGGTGAGCATACATGCACACATATTTTATGAGTAGTTTGGGGTCAAGCTATCAAACTGTTGGCTCAAAGAACAAGAATATTTTTAATTTTAAAAGCTATCACTCCTCATTGCCAGGGAAGAGGCGGTGTACCTCGTCCGGGGCTTTCATTCAGTACCATCCAGGGGTAACAGGCATCTGTGATTCGAGCACCCAGGGGCCCTGTACAGACGGCAGCCTTGGTCCTCTGGGAACCCTTGACAATCTGAACAGTTGTTCTAAAAACTAACTCGTGGGGCGCCTGGGTGGCTCAGTTGGTTAAGTGTCTGCCTTTGGCTCAGGTCATGATCCCGGGGTCCTGGGTTTAAGCCCCACATCAGGCTCCCTGCTCAGTGGGGAGCCTGGTTCTCCTTCGCCCTCTGCCCCTGTCCCTCTCTCTCTCAAATAAAGTTTTAAAAGATAAAAAATAAAAGATAACTCATGTCAGTCCTCAGATCAGCTCAAGAAAATTAAACTGGTCCCTTCTTATCCTTGGAAAGGTCAAATGTTGAACTCTGAGAAGGGCTGAACTTTTCTAAGGCATTAGCTAAGCTAGGGAGTGGTGGAATGTTTGCGTCTCCAGTTCAAATCTCATCCTTAGGTCTTGGATTCATTTCTCACGAATGAACCTTCACTAACTGAAGATGGCTTAGGTGGCACACTAGTTAAGAGGAACAACTTAGATACCACCTAGAAGTGTTTGACCCGCCCTCCCCAAACCTTGAGTTCTTTCCATCTTTTCATGTATGAAACAGCAAACGTTAGTACGTTAATTCTGTACCACCAGATGTGAAGGGCTAAAGCCATACAAAACTACCTCGGTGAGACCTGGTGTTTCTGTAGATCTCAAACCTTCAGAAAACCATAGATATTGAAGCAAACTAGACGTATGTTGGCTCATTTTTGATGCTTTTTACTCACCCCTCCTCCCTGGACCCAAATAAGTGGGAAATATCTATTCTTCTGTCTGTTGGGGTGTTGTTGCTCCTGTAATCATCTAGGACCCACCAGAGGAGACGCTTACTACCTTGCAAGGTGACAGGGACTTCTTGCTTCCCAGGGCACCTCCTGTTGGCTTCCTGGAACTCTTACCAAGCTGAGTATCGTGGCAGCCACCATTTCTTGGGCAACTGCTCAAATTCAAGTGGGCAAGGTGACGCTTACTTGTTCTGTGAGACTGTACGTCTCTGCAAGGCACAGGGAAGTGCCGAATGCTTTGTCGAGTCGGGAAACAGTGCCCACTTCCTGCTCAAGCCAACAGAGTTTCAGTCCTCTTGCTCAAAGGGACAGTATGGTCCAGAAGTCTCATCCAAAGATCCTACTACTAGTGGTGGACTGACCCAGGCCCACATCCAGCACCTTATCCCTCTGGAATCATTGTTACAATGCAAACATGCCTGAGAGCAAGGACCATTTAAGTTGTTATCGGCCATTTAAGCCTTGGAATGTATGGTTTGGGGAACTGGTTAAATTTTGGCTTGGTGGCTAAACCTGGGGGCTCTTGGGAGGGGTACCAGAGGGAAATGGGAAAATAGAGAATCATTGTGTGCTCAAGTTCATCCACTTGATGAGGACTATGCAAAAGCCCAAGTGAAATGGAACATTTAGTATTATTATTAATTCCTAGCAACCAGAAAGTGGCAACAATCCAAATGTCCATCAGCTGATGAATATACAAAATCCGATCTCTCCTTACAATGGGATATCGTTCAGCCTAAAAGGAACGAAGTGCTGACACACGGATGAACCCTGAAGCCATCGTGCTCAGTGAAAGCACGAGACATAAAAGGCCACGTATGACGTGATCGCATTCCCACAAAATGTCCAAAGTAAGCAAATCCACGGAGAGAGACAGAGATCAGTGGTTGCCAGGAACCGGACAGAGGAGCAATGGGAATGACTGCCAATGGGTACAGGATTTCTCTGGGGACTGATGGAAATGCTCTGGAATGAGGTAGTGATGATGGTTTCTGAGTACACAAAAAACCACTGAGTCAAACACTTTAAAGGGCAAATATGGTGGTATGTGAATTGTATCTCCATTTTTTAGAAGAGTAGGTCGTTCTATAGAACTGAGAAAACAGGCCGTGTTTAATCACAGCTATGTGCCGTGTCATGAGCAAACACATCATCAGGTGGTTGATGACACTTTCACGCTCTTTCATCCAGGCACTATGGTGTCATCAGATCTGATTGGGCCATTCACTATGTATAGGGTATTATTCATTCTAGGTGCTAGGAATTAAATCAATTTAAAAAACAAAAAACCAGAGGCCCCTGGGTGGCTCAGTCGGTTAAGCATCTGACTCTTGATTTCGGCTCAGGTCATGATGTCAGGGTCACAGGATCGAGCCCCACGTCAGGTTCCTTGCTCGGCGGGAAGCCTGCTTCTCCCTCTCCCACTCCCCCTGCTTGTGTTCCCTCTCTCGCTGTCTCTATCAGATAAATAAATAAAATCTTAAAAAAAAAAAAGTAATGTTGATGCTTATAAACAAAGATGTATGTAAGTAATGATAATTAGCTTAGTAAGAACCAAGGAAAAGGTAAGTCATAGGAAATCAGAGAGAAGATGGTAGAGAGCCGGTCCCAAGGTGGTTGGTGAAGCAGGGCCTGGTTCTTGAACCAGTTCTGAAGATCATCAGGAACGAGGTCTGTCCAAAGGGGAGCAGAGCTCACAGGGCCCCCCTGTGCGAAGGATGGCACCCGGGCACATCTGTGAGCATGGCAGGAACAGCGGGCACCCAGAGGGGGTGCTGAGCCAACTTCGCAGGATCTGGAAATGCCCATAAGGAGTCAGGCATTCCCCGTTGATGCTGGGCACAAACAAAGAAGGGAGGCCTCTGCTCTTCTGAGAGAGGGGCCAGTCGGTGGGCTCCTGATGGACGCCACGTGCTCTTGAAGAAGGGATCCCTCGTCATCAGGTGCTGGAAGCAGAAATGTGGTGGCTGGTGATCCAGGCATGAAATCAAGACCCTGACAAGACATGTGGCTGTGGAAGAGACAAATCTAAGAAATATAAGGCATGGAGAAAGACACGAGCTTTCTCGTGAAATAACTAATTTTTACGTTGAGATTCTTATCCAGAGCATCCTTGGGCCCGCCTCCTCCACTCCTCCTTCCTGCTGGGATGTCCTCTTCCCAGCTGACATCTAACCCATCCTTCCCAGCCAGTCCACACATCGCTTTCCTGAGCCTGCCTTGTGACTTTGGAAGGTGACTGTCTTCCACGTGACTCCCCTAGCCTCGCGCAGCCGTCCCTGGAGCTAACACATCTATCTCTTCTGTGCCTTCCTTCTAAACACTCTGAGCACTTTCGCTAGCCCTGAGGGTCTCTGGAAAGCTGCAGTCGTCACTTGGGATCTTCCAACTTCGATTGCCCAGTGTCGGTGACCTGGCAGAATATAAGCAATTAGCGTATTGAATTAAGAGACAGCTCTTTCAATAAACATGAATTTTAGTGGATTTTTGTTTTGCTCTGAAGGTAGTGTGACATGTCTTATCTACAGTGATAGCTCTAAAACCACAGACGGGGTCCCTCCCTCTCTTTCAGGCCTTGCTCTATTACTGTGAAGCGCTGACAAAGGCAAACCTCCAGCTCCAGAAGGCAGCTTGTCTGGCCCTGAAGAGCCTGCAGGTAAAACCCAGCCTTAGAGACCCAGACAGGTCAGCTCGGAGCAAGGCGGGGGCCACGGACGCCCAACAGCTCTCTCCCCGTGCTCGGGAGCACTGTGTTAGCAGCGCATCTTACTTCCTTCGCTGTGGAACCTGTGTGTTTGTTTGGGGATCTTTGTTGTTGATTTTCGTTTTTCTTTTTTCTTCTTTTTAAATTCTTTACTTAAATTCAATGTGGTTAACATATTATTAGTTTCAGAGGTAGAGGTCAGTGGTTCGTCGGGTGCATATAACACCCAGTGCTCATCCCGTCACATTCCCTCCTAATGCCCGTCACCCAGCCGCCCCATCCCTCCGGCCCCCTCCCCTCCAGCAACCCTCAGTTTGGTTCCTGTCATTAAGAGTCTCTTAAGGTTTGTCTCCTTCTCTGATTTTGTCTTGTTTTATTTTTCCCTCCCTTGCCCTAGGATCCCCTGTTGTGTTTCTTAAATTGCTCACTAAATGTGACTTTGTTAGAGCCAACAACTTTCAGAAAACAGTCGTGTGTTTCAGTAGCCCGCAGGTCAGGGTTAGAAACGTAGACCTTATCCCAAAAGAGAGGTGACATGATGATTTCCCCAGTCTTTCTCATGCACAAAAAAACAGCAGGGACGGGGCGCCTGGGTGGCTCAGTCGGTTAGGCGTCTGCCTTCGGCTCAGGCCTGATCCCCGGGCCCTGGGATCGAGCCCCGCGTGGGGCCCCTCCTCTGTCGCTCTGGGCTAAAATAAGCTGTGGTCTGCCCACACTGCCCACCGCGGTCAGCTGTCCCCTCGCACCAGCGCTACCTGGGCCTGGCTTTCTCCCGGGAAAGATCGTCGCCCTCTGGTCCCTCTGTCAGCTCGTCAGAATCTCAGGAGCAGCTCTTTGTGTCGCCCCACGCGGGCTCCTGCGCTTCCAGCCGCCCTGGCCCTGGCCGGTGTTGTGCCGAGAGACCCCACGCTAGGCCCCCCGCCGCCTCCCCGCGCTCGCTCCCGTGTTCCGTCCCCGTCTGTGCACTGATGACTCCCAGCCCGCGCCCCACCCCAGCATGTAGCCGGCTTGCTGCTGGCTGTGTCCACTAGCAAGTCACCGCAGATGCACCCAGCCCTCGGCATCTCAGTGGGTCGTGCAGCTCACCCTCACACCCTGTACAGCCTGCGTCCTTCCAGCCCGCGTCTGTCCCCTGCCTCCCCGCTCTGTGCACCGGATCCGAGCCACCTCCCCACCAGCGGCCTCTGCCTCCTCGGAGTCCCAACGCCTTCCGTGCGTGCTCTCGGCCACGGCGAGAACGCTCTTAACACAACACGAGCCCTGCTTCCCAAGCCCCGCTGTAGCTTTCCATGATTCCATGAGTGAAGGCCCAAACCCTTCCTGCGGCTTGTAAGGCTGTCTTTGAGGAGCGCCCCTCGCATGGAACATATGTCCTTCTCCACCCCCCCAATACACACACACACACACACACTGCCCCACTTGGCTAATTGCTCTACGACCGCCCTTCCTCTGTGGAGACTTCCCTGGTCAGACCAGGTCCCATTTCCCAGCCATGTCATGCCCTGTAGTAACTCTCTGTCCCACCGTCTGGCTTTCCACGGGAGTGTAACCTCTTGAGAGCCAGAACCATGTCTTCATGGCTGAGTCTCCCGTGCCTGGCGAACTGCCCTGTTCGGAAAGTGCTAGATGAATGCGCAGTAAACACACAGACGAATTCCCACCACCCACCTTTACTCCGCGCCTCCGTTTTGGTCTAAACTAAGCATTAACAATTCGTACGTTAGCGCTGTCTTGGAAGCAGGGAGGTACAGCAGAAAGAACTCCCAGGAGTGGCTTCTCTTCTGGAAAGCAGGCTGGTCTCCCGGCTTCCTGACGCCCTCTGGGGTGTCCTCTGGGAAATGAGGGGTTTAGCAGATTGTCGGGGCTCCTGCAAGCACGCGCCCTGGGCTCCGTCCCAGGAAATTCTAGTACCGTGCCCCCTGGATGACACTCAGCGAGCCGTGGGGCCCCCCGGGGGAGATGGCCTTGACGTCCGCACCAGCTGTGGGGTACTGCGACTCGGGGGACCCCAGACAGAAGTGTCAGAGCGCTATCTCACGACTTTCTCCCTGCAGGCCACCGAAAGCATTAAAATGCTCGTGACATTGTGTCAGTCCGACACTGAAGAAATCAGAAACGTGGCCTCCGAGACCCTCTTGTCTCTCGGTGAGTTTTTTTTTTTTACCCGATTGTTTCCTTTTGGCACTCAGGAAGGAAGTGAAAGGAGATGTTTCGTGTGCACTGTTTGAGCAGTTTCCCTCCGTGGGCTCTCTGCTCACACTCACACACACTCACACAGGGTATGAGGAACTGGTCAGTTTCCATCTTGCTTCAATGCCCTGTTCTCACCGTCCGGTGTAGAGGGTGAGGGTTGCTCTCTGGAGCCTCTCTAGATGGATCAGTCTGTGCGCTCTCTGGAATCAAGAACAGAGATTTGAACCGGGAGGCTGAGACAGTAGTCAGGAATCCAGCTGGGATGGCAAGGTTGGGCTGGCCCTCGTAGAGGGATCGGTGAGTGGCTGAGATTGCGGAGACGCGCCCCAGGGTATGCCCTAACCCCCTGCTCCCAGGGCCTCACCCTGGCTCTCCGATGAACCCCTGGTTGCCCCGTGGGCCAATGCCCACCTGAGCCCTGACACCAGAGAGAAGAAGTGAAGTGTTTCTTTTATTCTGGAATAGCCAGATAAATCTTGCCCTTCACTTCACTTTAGAAAGCTTCGTGCCCACCAGGCTGCATACCTTTATTCCTGCTGGGGAGTGAGGAGGGTGGAGAGAGGCTCTCTTAATCCTGCATAACAGATAGTTGCTATTTTAATGCTACACCTGCTCTCAATGTGTAAAAACTAGACTCCCGAAAGTCCTCAAATTCTATCCGGTTGATACCACTCGTTGGAAAAAAGCCACCCCGGCTTGACTATAGTGGCTTAATAACGTCAGGGAGACTCTCATGGCATTTGTAATCACCGTGAAGATCACATCCATTGTAGGCGTCCTTTCTTACAGTTGTTGGTGTAATAACACTTCCTTCTGCTATTGAATATATCATCCACCGCACGGAAATCCAAGCCAGCGTATGTTTGTTTAAAGGATAAAACAGTTATTCCTTATGGCTGTTTTAGGCATACAAAGATGTAATTCCCTAAAAATGTGCCCAGGGTGTTATTAGTTCGAGCTTCCTTTACCCCTTCGTGCCCTGAAATAACAATGAAGGTAAGCCGGACGTTAGGAACGCAGAACCAGCAACGCCTTTTCACCCAGTGCAAGCTGAAGAGCGTGAGCCCTGCTGGGGGCGCCCCAAACTTCACTTAAGCTGCACCCCCAGCAGCATCTCCGGGAGGCATCCTTATCCGCGCTTCACTTTGGCTTTTTATTTAATTTAATTAATTTATTTGACAGAGAGAGAGCATGAGCAGGGAGAGGGGCAGACGGAGAAGCAGACTCCCCGCTGAGCAGGGAGCCCGATGCGGGACTCGATCCCAGGACCCCAGGATCATGACCTGAGCCGAAGGCAGACGCCCAACCGACCGAGCCCCCCAGGCGCCCCTTCACCTTGGCTTTTGCCCTGCGCTGCTCCCCCCAATCCCCGTGCCCCCTCACACCACCAGCTGGTGGTTCTCAATGTCAGCCGCACATCGGCATCACCAAGAAAGCTTTAAGATGCGCCCATGCCTGGGCTCTGCTTCCAAAGATGCTCTTTCCATTGGGCCTCGGCACTGTGTTAAAAGCCTCCAGGTGATTCTACCATGAAACAAGTTTGAACTCAATGCTCTGAATCGCCTTTGACCCTAATACACAAATACAGTCTCACACAGATGGCTGAATCAGTAATTGTATCCACTGGATCCCCCTGTGGTAACGGGGCTGTCCCAGTATTCACAGGTGGCTAGGGAGCATTTCCATATGGCTACTGTGAATGAGGAACTGAAGTTTAATTTTATTTAATTTTGAGCAGTGAGCATTTAAACTTGCATAGCCACACGAGACCGGTGGCTGCCATGTCGGGCAGAGCAGTTTCCCCCATTAGCTGTGGCCATTCCATTGTGCTCCAGCTAGATCTCAGTCCGGTTTGGAACCCATGCCAGACATCCCAGAGCGCAGGCCCCTTCTCCTCTAACACCCTGACTGCTTCACAGGGCTGTTAAAAGACCAGAGGAGGAGCCAACACAGGTCATCGGCCACTGGACGTTAGTCAGGGTGAGGTGCCCCGTAGACCGGCCCTGGTTGTATCTCCGTGGTAATGTTGGGGTACAGCTGTAGAGGATTTGCTCTGTGCCGGGCACTGGGTTGAGGGATCTGCATGGGTTAGCTCATTTAATCATCCCATGGACTCCATGAGGGAAAAGTGCAAATAGTCCCATTTTAGGGAGCGGTACATGGAAGCATAACTCACCTATGGATCCCCAGAACTTGTAAGCACCGGGATGGAATCCTGACCCACCCAGACTCTGGGGGACTCTAGGGAAAGAACTGAACACTTCTGATTTGCAATATATCCATGAGCAAACTAGGAACTGGCCAGGTATTCGCTCTTTTTTAAATAGGGTTAGTTAGCCAAGGTATCCAGGGTATGTGCAAGTAGGCGAGGTAGGAATGGGCCTAACTTAGGCCCTCTGTCTCTGTCTCCCCCTGTCATCACCTGGAAAGATGCTATATTCAGTGTTTTATGTATCAGGGATTTGTGTAAATATTTTGTTTCAAATAAAGGGTTCTACTCCAAAGTAATAAAAAAGGTGAAAAAATATAACATTTGCCTCAGAAAAGTCAAGGCATGCAGAAACAATCAACAGAAATCTCTAAAAATTGGTGGCCTTTGCCAAGAGAAAAGTTCACCATGTTCTTTTAAATGCAGGCGAATCCCTACTTTTCTATGTGATGTATGACTGAAAAACTTAAATGTACCCCCCCTAAAAGCAAAGACAAACTTTTGGTTGATTGAGAGGCTTCTGTTTTCAGGGACTACAGTATATTATAAAACCCATAATTACACTCCCTTTCAAAAACCCACTAACATCAATGTAGTCCCAGCATTTCATGAATCTTTTTTTCTTCGCAATGAACTTGTGATTGAGCACAACTCATACTCCCATCTTTGTCCTTCTTGTATTAAATGCATGAACGCCTGCTTCTTATCACTAGTTATCTATGATTTTTTTCCCATTTCCTAATCATTGTTTTAGATAGGAAAAACGGTACGGAGTGTTCAAATAATTTGCAAATCAGTATTGGCTGTTCGAGATGACTACTGATGGAAGTGACCTAGCTGCTGGCTGGTAGACAGATCACCACATGGGTCCATGGCAAAGAGTAATGTTTTAGCTCAAGTGTGACAGCCTAAGTTTGACTTTTACAAAAGACCGTTTAGATATGCCAATATGTAATGTAAAAAGTAAAAGTCCTGTCGAAGTTCAATGCTTTGAAGTCAAGGATCAGCCATACTGAAATCCCTAACGCACTTAAAATATAATCCATATGACTTCTCAGGAAGAAATCTATCGTGCGAAATTATCCCCATCAAAAGCCCGTAGAACTTCTACTGTTTCACACCCTGACATTCATTTAGTCTCTTGCATTCCCTCAAAAGTTCTTGTTTGTTCTACGAAGGACAAAAGAGACAAACCCGTAAAGCAGACTCTTACCTCTAGAGAACACCCTGCTGGCTACCAGAGGGGAGGTGGGTGGGGGTGGAGGTGATGGGGATGAAGAGCACACTGATCGTGATGAGCACTGAATAAGGTATAGAATGGTTGAATCACTATACTGTACACCAGAAACTAATATAACACTGTATGTTAACTGCACTGGGAGTTTTTGTTTGTTTGTTTTTTAAAGGGCACCTGGGTGGCTGAGTCGGTTAAGCGTCCATCTTCGGCTCAGGTCATGATCCCAGGGTGCTGGGATCGAGTCTCGCATCAGTCTCCCTGCTCAGCAGGAAGCCTGCTTCTCCCTCTCCCTCTGTCCCTCCCCCCACCCATGCTCTCTCTCGCTCTCAAATAAATAAAATCTTAAAAAAAAACCATAAAAAAAGTTCTTGGTCATTTAAACATTACCTAGAAAACAACATAATTAAGAGTATCGGAAGATGATTTCCCTACGTAAAGTTAACAGCGAAATTACACAGCGATCCATTCCCAAACAACTGGTATTGTTATCCTGAGGGATGAATGAGAAAGCCACGTTCCAACTGCTGTTGGTTTTTGATGTTCTGTGTGCAGGGGAAGACGGGCGGCTGGCATATGAACAACTGGACAAGTTTCCTCACTGTGTTCACGTTGGAGGGCGCCATGGGACGGAAGTCGCTACGGCATTTTAATGTGCTCTCCTGTACAGCTCTCTTTCTAAATGGCCCTGTTCATCAAGGTGGTGCTGGGGTCGAGCGGGAATGCTTACAACTTGAAGCGCTCTGTTGAGATTGTCTGGAAATGTAACGTGTTATAGATAGAATTCAAAATCGAGTTTTCCAGGACCTAGCCACTTTTCCTTTGGCCAGTAGAATCGGGCTGTGTAGTACTCTGTAGATTTTATTGTCGATGGCGTCTGACAGTACTTAGTTAAAGAGCCCATCTTATCGCGTATGTGTGGAATTTTAAAACAGCCATCTTTGTACTTTTTTGGAAGTTCTTCTATAAGCCTAAAATAGTCACGTGATGCTTTGATGCCTATCCTACGCCTTGCAGTTTTTCTCTGTCGTGTTCTCAGGGTTGAGTGGCCCCGTTAGCTACCTAATTTCACCTTAATGCAAAGCACAAAAAAAAAAAAGAATTTCTTCAAATAAAGATTTGCCTGCAGAACTTGGTAAAACGACACATTGTAAGAGTTTAATTTTTCTTTTAATTTTATTTTCCTCAAGCCTCCACTACTTCTTTTGTTTCTTTTCTCCATCCTGAAAGTCCCAAAAGCATGTTTCCATGGTTAAAAGACAGGTGGATGACTAAGAGCTACCTTATTAAGTTTATACCTGTACTCCTTAAAAAAACACATTCAAAGTTTAAGCTTTTTTAAACAAGAGCCATTTTTTTATGATACTTTTACAATAGAGATATTTTGCTGCTATGACCAATCAAAACCAAAAGTCATGGATTCAGAAAGCTGTGACGCTCTTTGAAGTAGAAGTACTTGGAAGTTGGAGGACTCTTAATGGGGTGAGAGCAGAAGGACATTCCAAGTGGTCCTTGCTTCTACAGGAATTACCATGAGATTAGGAAGGAGAAGAATGCCCCTAGGGACCGTCACTGCCCCCAGAGAAATCATTGATCCCTGGGTGGGATCTCTTGGCCAAATAGTTAAAGTAACAGCTTCCTTTATTGCTTCCCTATCAGGGTAGCAAGTCCTCTAAATAAACTACAAGACCACTCAATAGCTTTTCTTCCTCTTAAGAGTATACATGATGGGATATGCCAAGATCTCAAAATAATATGTGTGAGTGTTATTTAAACTGTGGAATATCAACTGTATTCTGGACGTGTTTGTATAAAATATCATTTAGGTGTCTTTCAAATATTTACATTTTAGCAAGACCTTTAAGAACAACTCGTATTCCATTTTAAAGTAAAAATTGTTGGGGTGCCTGGCTGGCTCAGTTGGTAGAGCATGTGACTCTTGATCCCAGGGTCATGAGTTTGAGCCCCACATTGGGCGTGGAGCCTACTTAAAATAAAAAATTAAAAAAAAAAAAAGTAAAAATTGTTTGCCAGGCTTCCTGGCAAATAGTTCTTTCAACTGTGAAGTCATAATGTGTATATATATTTGTATATTTATAAATATTATATATATGCATATATCCTTCATTTTAAAGGTACATTGTACAGTCTATGGTTAGTATGTATAGTCTATAGTCTATGTTAAATGGTTGAAATGATTCTTTTTACAGAAAGTCAAATCACAAATGTTACAGTTTTTTGTTTGGTTTGTTTGGGTTTTTTTTCTAATTTTTTGAATATTGCATGAGTAATTAATTCCATATCTTTTGTATTCATTTCTGCATTTTATTTTTGCTCGAAGGGGGTGCTTTTAGTTTTGTGGCATTTGTATCCATCACTCTTTCAATCATGTAAGTTAAAATAAAAATTATTTTTGAATTACTAGTCTCATGTGCAGAGCCTGCTCTACGTTTTTCCCATGCCCTCCTTCACCTGGCATTTCTACAACACGGTGCACCTCATTCTCAACCTGAATTTATCATTATCTTGAAATTCCTTCACTTGTAAATGAGGATCATAATATTGCCCTCTCAGATTTATTGTAAAGCTAATGGGAGCAAAAAGAGCTGTGTTTCAGAATCGTGTTATCTATGAGCAGAGACCATGAGCCCCCTGAAGATGAAAAGAGCCTTCATTTATTTGTGTGTGCCCCAGCCCATACCCCACCAGCATCATCACAGACGGGCCCCTCGCATTCAGCTGTGAGCACAAGTATTCACCAACTGACATCAAATACCAGTGATTGTTTTTGCTGAGTCAGCAGGAAAAGATTTTTTTTTTTTTTCCCTATAAGGTTCATTTCTATACTGTTTAACTGAATTGCCTTCCTTACTTCACAAAATATAAAGTAAAATTGTAAACCCCCATTCAGCAGACAACACCAGCACTTCTCACTGTATCCGAAAAGCAAATTAGTCAAATAGAAAAATAAAGATTTTTATCCCTGAAATTTTCCCAGAGATAATATCTCTTATTAAATAAATACTACCTTGATTTTGAGAAATTTCTAAGTATACTTTGTGTGTTTGCTAAAAACTAGATCTCTAATTTTTCATTTATGCAACAATTTTTTTTGCATACTTACTGTGAATAAGGTGTACGCTCAAAGAATATGACTGTTTTTTGCACTGCAGATCAGCAGTGAAGAAAACACAAAAGGCATAAAAATCTTTGCCCTATATGCTGGCAAGGCGAGAAAACAAGATCTGGAAGGCAGTCATAATTGTACAAGGCTGGGGATGGGACAAGTGACAGGGCAAAGGTCACGGGGTAGAAGAGAGTGGTCCGGGAAGGTCTGACAGAAAATTGCACGTGTGGAACTGATGGGGTGAACCATGTGGATATCTCCGGGAAGAACATTCCAAGCAGAGATAACAATAAGCACAAAAGCCTTGAAGAGGAGCCATGCTTGGGGTTTTAGATTTTCTAGTAGCCACGTTTTAAAAAGTACAGAGAATAGGGGACGTTAACTTTAGTAATACATCTTTTATTTAGCCTAACATATCCAAAATATTTCAACTTGTAATCAATAACAAAAATTAGCAGTATGATATTTTGCATTTTTTTCATCCTAAGTCGTCAAAATCCAGTATGTAGTTTACGTTTACAGCCCATATCAGTTCAGACTCGTCACACTTCACGCGCTCCAAAGCCCCTGTGGCCACCGTGCTGGACAATGCATGTCTCTGTTTCCCACGCTGTCGCATTCCTGCCCTTGACTGCATCTGCACACGTGCTCACGTACGTGCATGCACACAGGTGTGGATCCAGGGCTCCAACAGTGGGTTACATGTTTGTCATGTCTCTTCAGGCTCTTTTAATCTACAACAGTAGCCCCGCACCCCCTTTCCTCTCAAGCTTGTATACCTTGATGTATTTGAAGAGTCCAGGCGTGTAACACTTTGTAGAAGATCCCAAATCTGGACGGGGAGGTCCACATTTCTACTTTGCAAGCAGAGCCTTGTTGATAAGTTGGAAGTGAAATGTGAGACAGATAAAAGCCAAGGATGAATCCAACACTTTCAACCTGAACAGGTGCAAGGATGGGGTGCCATCTTCCAAGACAGAGAAAGGGAGCTGCTGCAGGCTTAGAGAGGAAGACCAGGAATTCTGACTTGGACATGTTATATTTGAGAAGCCTCTTAGACAGCCAACTGGATGGCTATCAAGTTGACGACTGAATATGTCTGGAGTTCAGGTGAGAAATCCAGTTAAAAATAAAATTGGGGGAGGGGGGTGCACCTGGCTGGCTCAGTTGGTCGGAGCATGTGACTCTTGATCTCGGGGTCGTGAGTTTGAGCCCCACATTGAGAGTAGAGATATTTAAAAATAAAACGTTTGAAATATATATATATAAAATTGGGAGTCTTCAGCCTATGGATGGCACTGAAAGCCGGGAGACTGGTTTATCTAGGAAGTATAGATCGAAACAAAGAAGAGCCTATGAGGCCTGAGGCTTGGGACACTCCACTATTTACAGGTCATAAAGAGGTGGAACCAGCAAAGGGAAATGGAGGGTGGTAAGCAGAAGAACAATTGGGTACGACAGCTTAGAAGTTAGGAAAAAAGGCGTTTCAAGGAGAAAGTGTCAAATGCTGAAGACCGAGAATTGGATTCAGCAGAATGAAGGTCATCAGTGACGCTGACGAGCAATCCCAGTAGATTCGTGGGTTGGAAATCTCTCTTTGGAGTACATCCAAGAGAGGATGGAAGAATACTTGAAACGGTGAGTATGGCCACTCTTTGAAGAGTTGTTGTATGAAGGGGCGCAGAGCAGTAACTCGGCGGAGGGGTTATATGAGGTCAAGAAAGCGTTTTACTTTTTTACTGAGAAAAAGTACAGCATGCTTGTTGATGATGCAAACGATCCAGTCGCGATGGAAAAATTAGTTAAGGCAAGAGAAGAGCTGTAGAGCCATCTCCCTGAGTGGGGCGAGGGGTGGCTGAAATATGCTGCATGAATGGAGAGGGCGTCCATAACCGGACAGCAGGGGTCCGTGTGCACGATGCAGCTAGGTGGGCACGGTGAAGACAACTGTGCAAGTGCCCTTTAGCCTGCTTCTATTTTCTCAGCGAGACAGGATCAATACAGGACATCAGTGATGTGGAGAAAAAGTCTGATTACGTGACAAACAAGCAGAACAGGGATAATCCTACGGAAGGAGGTTCAGTATGTGTCGGAATAAGCAAAGTGAAACAGGCAAGCTGCTAGCAGGCGCTGCCCAAGCAAAGGTGCAAAGGCAGGAATGCGCCTCATGTGCGTGAGGGGGAACCGGTTTGGTCCAAGCCGAGATGCTACGCACCCAGAGAAGTGAAAGGAAACTTGGTGTAGCTGAAATCGCAGACGGCCTTCGATGCCGGCCTGAAGAATCAAGGCATCCCTGCTTCCCCCTGACTGTGTATTCCGTTCTCCAGGGTTGCTAAGTGATGCATTCCAGAGTTCTTGACTATGAACTTCGGCTGCTGAACCACCACTGGCTCTTTCCACGCGATGGCTAAGACCCGTGTTTATTATGTGCAGTGTTGGACGCGGATTTACCGCTATTTTTCGGGGCTGTGTTGGCGTGTGCAGAAGTTCTGGAATGTCACTGTCAAGCCCTTTTTCGTGAAGAAGGAGGAGGAAGGAGATGTCCCTTCCGCTGAGAGTATTTTTCACAAAGAAAAAATCGTGGTGCTTGGCCATTTATTAAAGGATGAATCTTTAGCTATTGAGAAGAGGGCTCAAGCTGCGCACCGAATTGGACTGCTGGCCTTCACAGGTACGGACTGAGCCAGCTGGCCTCACAGAGCTCCCCGAAATCTCTTTGCTTGTTATAACACCGTAAGTTAGTGACTTTTCAGAGGTCTGGTCTTAGATGCCCAGGACGTTTCCTTTGCCTAAAGTTTTAGTTCTTTGTCTTTGTACGACCAAAGACATTTGCCAATCATTTTCTCAAGGATCTCATGTTTTGCAAGAGTGAGTCCATCAAGTAAATGATGGAGAATTTTCCCACTTTTATTAGTTAAAAACACACATACCGAAATTGCCTAACGAAGTTCTCATTATTATGTTAAAAAAAAATCAAAGAATCTATACTGAGTTGATGTAACTCCCACCGAGTAATATGATTTCAACACAGAGTAAAAGCGCTTGGGATTTTATTTTTTATCTTGTAAAAATGCGTCACGCGGAAACTACCTTAGAAAAATCATTAAGAGCTTAATGCTATTAAAACACCTACCAGGAAAGACAGTCAGTACATCAGTGAAAAGCAACTGTTAATGTATATTTGGCCAGAAAGTTAAGTGGTAAACTGCTTAAACACACACTGCTCTAGTAATCATCAGGTTTAAACTCACTCCCACGTTTTTTTCCTAATAAATTTCAGGATATACAATGAAATTTTATAGATAATCTTCAACAACACATCTCTTTTTTTTTAAATTTTTATTTATTTATTATTAACATATAATGTATTATTTGTTTCAGGGGTACACGTCTGTGATTCATCAGTCTTGCACAATTCACAGCGCTCACCATAGCACATATCCTCCCCAATGTCCATCACCCAGCCACCCCATCCCTCCCACCCCCCCTCCCCTCCAGCAACCCTCAGTTTGTTTCCTGAGATTAAGAGTCTCTTATGGTTTGTCTCCCTCTCTGGGTTCGTCTTGTTTCATTTTCCCCCTCCCTTCCCCTATGACCCTCTGCCTTGTTTCTCAAATTCCTCGTATCAGTGAGATCATCTAATAATTGTCTTTCTCTGATTGACTTATTTCGCTTAGCCTAATACCCTCTAGTTCCATCCACGTCGTTGCAAAAGCAAGATTTCATTTTTGATGGCTGCGTAATATTCCTTTATATATATATATATATACCACCTCTTCATTATCCATTCATCTCAACAACATGTCTCTTGATTAGAAGCTCTGGCTGGTAGCTCTAATTATCAGAGATAGATTGATCTCTTTTTTAAGGGTAAAATGAGTTACCTAGATGGGAGTTTGAGAGACTACATTTTTCAAATGGTGTCCATGAGAGAAAACATTTACCATTTTCAAGGACCAAGGGGTTCTAGGGGCCAGAATGGGTGAGAACCACTGGCATAGAGCTAGAAGGAAGACCAGAGACGCCTGTGTGAAGGAAGGAGGAAAGGAGCCCACCGCTTGAGAAGACCAGTTGCCTGTCTAGCCATTTGGGGGAAGAGCTAGCTACTTATAAGAGGGTCAGAATTCCTTAACTTGATGTTATATAGTCTTAGTTATCCTGGTGGGAAGCAGGGAAGGGCTTATGCCCAGGCTTTCAACGAAAGCTTTATCGTTGGCTAGAATATCCTTGGGCCTGTAGGACTATGAGAGTGCCAATAAGAGAAATGCAAGCCGGTTCACAGCTCCAGTGGCCAGAATCTGGCCAACCATGCCACCTACTTCTTCCCGTCTCAATAGTCCTCATCCCATGTTTTCTCGGCTACTTTCTTGGGGTTTGAGATTTGCACAAGGGAAATCTGGGGTTCAGGTATATGATGAAAGTAGAGTCTAGGACCAGGTTGGGTCCGTAACCAAAGCAAGAAAAATCTTTTAAGGTCACGTTGCTCCCCGATCTGCAAGAGCTGGGCTGAGAGATGAGAAATCAGAGAGAACGGGATAGCAATGGACAACTCATGAAAAGCCTCTCTCTCATCAGTTAGACCCTGCTGGCTTTGCAAGGCGGCATTTTGGTTTTTCTTTTTGTTTGCTCTAACACTCTAGGTATTTTTCAAGGACTGAAGACAGAGAATCCGGAATAAGACCATGAGGGAGCACCGCCGGTTTTGCTCACCTTGAGATACTGACGGTCGGGTGCTTGAATGAAGGAACGAGGGAGGAGGCTTAGGCAGGCAGGGAATTTCCAGGGCTTTGCCTAGGGAAGTGCAGGAGTCAACGTGTCAGTATACAGCAGAAAGAATATGGAGGCATCAGCACTCAAATGTTGCTAGCAATACTTCTGAAATGCAAATACTTGTTTTCCAGGAGGACCAGCTGCTGGGAAATTTGCAGCTGAGTACATGAAAGAAGTAGCTCACTTGTTGAAAGATCATGACATGGCACCAAAGGTAAAGATCTTGTTGCTCCAGAGTATAGCGTGTTGGTGTTACTTAAACCCCGTCAGCCAGAAGAGGGCCAAACATCTGAAGTTTATTCCTATCCTCGTTGAGGTTTTTGAGGACAAACTCGACTCTATGACCAAAAGTGAAATAAACAACGGCCTCCTTGTTAAATTCTGGACTTGCTATGTTCTCTCCGTCATGACGTGCAATAACTTGTCCTGCGTAAAGGAGCTTAAAAACTACAGTATTCTGAAATATCACTTGCAAATACTGGCGACTGAGAATTGGTCTGGGTGGCCTGAGAATTTTGCAGAGGTGCTGTATTTCCTAATTGGTTTTCACAGGAATTAATTTCTCCGAATGCAGCTGACGCAGCTGTCTATACCACAGCCTGGAAAACCGGAATAAATAATAAAAAGTCGATACAGTCTTCTTCGGTGTCTTCTTTTAGGTAGTTAAGAAATTCTACATAAATCTTCAACGGTCACTGAAATAACCACACGTAGGAAAAGGGCCACTCTTTAAAATGACCTCAGAAAAATTAAATTCATAATATGGGGATTCATTGAAAGATGAGTTATGTATATAACTGTTAGGAGCAATGGTATGTTTTGGGGGTTATTAGATGACATACAGCCAAGGCACCCAACCCAACCCCCAGCTACCCCTTGTAGAGGGCACTGTTACCCCACCTGTATCCTCTCAGCCCCGATGATTTCAGTGCCGGCCCTCCAGCTGCCACGCCTTTAGCCGAGAGGCTCTTCTGGCCACCGGAACATGATTCTGTTGTATGTCGGGCCAGCAGGAAATTCGGGGGAATGAACATCCCAGAAAAGCAGCCCTCAGCTCCCCTGAGGGAGCTCTGGATGGAGGTGGGGTTCCCTCTGCTCCGACCCCTAGACAGCCTGAAGGTAGGCCCTTGGGTTTTCCTACCAAGATGTGCACCCTCCCTATTGGATCGTTAGGGGAGAGGTAACAGAAAACCTGCACTTGACTTCTGTGTTCCCCGGGGTCATGAAAAGCTTTATTGCAAAAGGTAATATTTATCGCAAGTGCCTAAGGGACGTGCACCCGTTTCTCCAGCTACACTAACAGTCACCTCTAGCTGACCTGCGGCCACCGTAGGTTGAATTATGCGCTTTCATTTGTCACCAATGGGCTTTGACCAGGCTGTGCCCCAGCCTGATGCTTCCGCCTTTACTAAACAGGTGGTGTCGTTCTGTGATCCCCACTTGTATTTATTACAGGAACGCTGAGAGGGACGCGGATCACACCATGTGGACTCACAGGCCTCTCGCGGGCGGGGGTGGGGGAGGTGTTCCCAGACCTTCAACCAGGCAAAGCTGTGTTTTGCTGCGCACCTGTTACGTGCTCATCCACGGTGGCTTTTGTGAACGCAGAGTTTCTCCAGCTAGCATCCCATTTACCGGGGTAGATTAAGGGTTGCAAATCGGTAGTCCCATTGAGAGACTGGGTCGTGGGCAGAAATTACTTTTTTTTTTCCTGTGTCCCGTTTTTTTTATGGTTTTGCAGCAGAATGCCCGACATGAAACATAATTGTAAATATTCGGCTGTGCAAAAGAGAATAGTGCTTAAGTACAGAAGGAGACATGATTTTTTTTTTTTTTAAATAAATACTTAAACACAACTCGGGTCCCACAAGCACCTGGACTCGGAGGTCTGTGCGGTGGAGCTGCCTGCCTGTAGTTTTAAATGCTTTTTAAATTAAATTTTATTATATTTCAAAGTAATACACGAACATGATTTTAAAAGTCAAATAACCCAAGGCCTCTGACAGAAAAATAGCAATCCCCAAACTCCCTCCTGATTCACACTCCCAGAGGTAACCGTTGGAATTCTTTTGGCCATTTCTTCTGGTATTTACTTACCTCCATAGCTGTAAATAGTTCACATACATTGCCAATTCTTTTTTTTTTAAGATTTTATTTATTTATTAGAGAGAGAGAGAGCACAGCAGGGGGAGAGGCAGAGGGAGAGGGAGAAGCAGGCTCCCCGCCAAGCAGGGAGCCCGACGTGGGGCTCGATCCAGGACCCCGGGATCATGACCTGAGCCGAAGGCAGATGCTTAACAGACTGAGCCACCCAGGCGCCCCTTATACATTGCTAATTTTTTTTCAATTTTAGGTATTTTTCCTTTTACTTCTTAATATGACAGATAAGACTTAGGGTTGTAACCCTGTCCCTTGCCTGTGTCCACATGCCCTTCTCTTCCTCTCTCAGGAATAATCATGCCATCATTGGAAGATCTGGGACGCCTGGGTGGCTCAGTCGTTAAGCGTCTGCCTTCAGCTCAGGTCATGATCCCAGAGTCCTGGGATCGAGTCCCGCATCGGGCTCCCTGCTCGGCGGAGAGCCTGCTTCTCCCTCTGCCTGCCGCTTTCCCTCAAATAAATAAATAAAATCTTAAATTAAAAAAAGGATGCATTACCTATATCACTGTTAATTAACTATATAACTTGTTAATTAAAACAAATAGGAATACTTCAACATTTTTCATGGCTAAGTCATATCGCGTAGTGTGATTTTCTTCTTCGTACAACTCTGTTTTCCCTGGAGTCTTGTTCCTTTGTTTTGTGGCTTTAGTTTCACTGATTGATTCCCACTCTCTATAGCTGTTCAACCACTCTCCATAGTTTCACACTGTGTAATTGTCAGCTCCCATATCCTGGCTACCGTAGATAATGCTGCAATAAACACAGGGGTGCATATACCTTTTCAAATTAATGTTATTTTCTTTGGGTAAATATCCAGTAGTGGAATTTACTGGATCATTTTTAACTTTTTGAGCAGCCTCCATACTGTTTTCCACAGTGTCTCTTCTCCACATCCTCACCAACACTTGTTATTTCTTGTGTTTATTTTAGCCATTCTGACAGACATAGAGTGACATCTCTTTGTGGTTTTAATTTGCATTTCTCTGGTGATTAGCAATGTTGAGCATCTTTTTATGTGTCTGTTGGCCATTTGTATTCTTCTTTGGAGAAATGCCTATTCAGGTCCTCTGCCCATTTTTAATTGGGTTATTTGGTTTTTTGGTGTTGAGTTGTGTAAGTTCTTTACCTATTTTAAATATTAACCCTTTATTGGATGTATCATTTGCAAGTATCTTCTCCCGTTCGGTAGGTTGCCTGTTTGTTTTGTTAATGGTTTCCTTGGCGGGGCAGAAGATTTTTATTTTGGTGTAGTCCCAATACTATAATTTTGCTTTTGTTTCCTTTGCCTCTGGACACATACCTAGAAAAGTGTTTTTATGGTTGACGTCAAAGAACTTACCGGCTATGTTTTCTTCTCTAAGTTTTATGATTTCAAGTCTCACATTTAAGTCTTAAATCCATTTTATTTTTGTGTATGGTGTAAGAAAGTGGTCTGGTTTCATTCTCTTGCACGTAGCTGTCTAGTATTGCCAACACCATTTATAGAAGATTCTTTTCCCCATTGTATGTTCTTGCTTCCTTTGTCATAGATTGACCATGCAAGTGTGGGTTTATTTCTGGGCTCTCTGTTCTGTTCTACTGACCTCTGTGTCTATTTTTGTGCCAGTACCATATTGTTTTGATTACTACAGCTTTGTTGTAGATCTTGTAATCTGGGATTGTGATACTTCTTTGTTCTTCTTTCTCAAGATTGTTTTGGCTATACAGGGTCTTTTGTGGTTCCATACAAATTTTAGGAGTATCTGTTCTAGTTCTGTGAAAAATGTTGTTGTACATACCAATACTTTATCCTTGGTCTTGGTTTTTGTATCTTAGAGTTTCTTCTTTTCTACCGCATCAGAGTATTCCACTGTATGACTGAACTATAATTTATATAATTTTAAGCATGGACATTTAGATTATTCCCAGTCTTTTGACAGGTTAAAGTTGTAATAACTTTAAATATAGATCATTTCACACGTGTGAGTACATCTGTGGAATAGATTTCTAGAAATGGGTTTCTTGGCAATATTTATATTTTCATTTAAGTTTCCTTCTGGGCCCTGCTTTGTCACTTTCCCTCATCTTTTCTGGACTATTAGCTGTCTTCATCAGGGTGAGATTATGTCTTTTGTAGTTTACTATTATTATTTTTTTAGTAGGAATATGGATTCTTTTTTTTTTTATTATGTTAGTCACCATACGTTACATCATTAGTTTTTGATTGTAGTTTACTATTATCTTTAATGGGATCTAGGGAGACACAGGAGATAAACGGCTGTGTTTGACTCTCCTGCTTAACCAGAAATTGCTAAGGCCCCTCTTCTGACAATGCTTAGAGAACTCTGGGTTAACATTTTATCTACAGAGGTGTAGCTTGAAAGGCAGCCTGGCTCTATTGCTGTATTCAAGTTCTTTTTTTTGGTCTCTGGCTCACCTGGAAGTTGAAGGTGGTAAAACATAAGGCTTAGACTTGGGCTTTGGGGTATTTTTATGCTAAGCTTTGAATTTAAAACTGGTTTGCCAAAGTTCTAATAATTAGTTTTAAATTTTCCTTTGTTACCCCTTATAACTTCATCCTTCCCCAACATTTGAGTTCTCCTAGAACAGACTTGAGTCAAGAATTTGAGTGCAGGAACTGTATTTGGAAGATGATCCAAGGAACTAGCAACAGGGAAGGGAAGAAAGCGAGTAGGTGTGTGGTCAAGAATGTTACACCATAAGTAGACGGTACTTGTGATCCTGCTGAGGGCCTGCTGGTAAATACACAACACACGCACCTCAGAGTTATCCCACCCAGAGGCCCCAGGAGCTCAAATATGCCAACTCCTATCCTTCTTGACCTAATGACCTAATGAGCTAGAACCTAAAATTCAACTGAGGTTTCTTGAAGGCGACAGGGTTAGTGGGGGAGTTTTCTAAACAGAGCAAAGTTGCAAGGGCCCAAGGCTGAGTAGTGGACATGTGTTGTGTCTGGTTAACTAGAATTGATTCTTTCTTCTGAGACACTGCAATTTCGAGGGGATAGCTGGCCCACGGTGTCATCTTAAGAGACTGTCAACCAAGCCATCTTGCCCTCCCAAGGAGCAGCGACATAAGCCAGGCCACGCCAATCTCGCCATGTCAGGAAAGGGGAGAAAATCAGCACTAAGACAATGCCAATGAGCACCTGTTAGAGGGTCCCCCATGCTGGTTTCTGCTTCTTCAGGACCATTCTGTTCTTCCAGTGAATTCTGTTTCTGTTCACAGTAGACAGTTTCTATTTTTTAAAAAGAACTCTGAGGAAGGCAGGAAGAGACAGAACATGTCCCAGAACTTTTTAAGAATATTTTTGCCACATCTTAGTAACATTTACTTCTCATCACAGATCCTCTCACCATCCCCCCATACCCACTGTTTTTAAACTTGTCTGTGCTTGTATATAGAAAAGCAATTAATTTAAGGTGATTTTAAAATCTGGCCACTTAATTTGTTTCTAGTCGCTCTTGGGACTTTCTTATGTAAATGAATTCTTTTTCCTTCCCATAATTAGCTTTCTTCGATTTGATTGCACCAGGCTGAGACCTCAAAAATAATTAGTAATAATTGTGGCCCATTCTTCTCTAGTTCGTGACCTTACAACTGTTTCTAAAGCTTCACCATTAATCATTCACCATGTTTGTTAGGCGTAGGAAGATAGCTTTTTATCAAGTCTTTTCCTGGCTTAGCTGTTAATTTTTTTTTTTTTTAAGATTTTATTTATTTGACAGAGAGACACAGTGAGAGAGGCAATACAAGCAGGGGGAGTGGGAGAGGGAGAAGCAGGCCTCCCGCGGAGCAGGGAGCCCGATGTGGGACTCGATCCCAGGACCCCGGGATCATGACCTGGGCCGAAGGCAGATGCTTAACGACTGAGCCACTCAGGCGCCCCAGCTGTTAAATTTTATTGATGCTATTTTATTAGGATTATGGGCTTTCTTGCCCTTCAATGTGAAGAATTTCAAGTGTGTACTAATACTGAAACAATCTCGCATCCCTGGGATAAACCCCAACGTGGTCATCATGTTTTCTCTTTCAGTATATAACTGGATTAGATTTACCATTTTATTTAGGATTTGTCCATTTGTATTACCAGGGCTCTCGTTTCCCCCTGCTCCAAACCCTTTTGTGGGCTATCCTGGCTACTTTAGTATGTAATACTGACCTTATAGAATATACTGACAAGTTCAGTCTAATCCAGGCTTCACACGTAACGTTTTTCCAGTTGATTCTTAACCTGTTGCCGTTATCCTTACAGAACCTCCCCCGAATTTTTTAAGTCAACTTCAAGTAAGTTATGCTAACTTGCCAGGCGTGATTGACCTTCATTGGCATTTCATTGAGGTGTTCTGGCATTTGATACCTAATTAAAAATCAGACTCATCATCTTAAGTAAATTCTTCCAAATTCCCCATCATCTAGGGTCACAGTTCCCAGGTCCTGGAGACTTAAAAATCGATCCCCAAAACCACGCCAAGGTCCTTAGGCAACTGATTTGCTTTCCTTCAAGATTCTAGTTTTATCTAAATGGAAGCAAACAGCAGGTACTCTTACCTGCTTTCTTCCACTCAACATCATTTGAGATTTGTCCATGTTGTTTATGCCAACTGTTACTCTATTGCTGAGTGGTATTCCACCGTATGGATACACCACCATCTGTTCATCCTTTCATTTGCTGGTGGACATTTCGGCTACTACAGATAAAACTGAGAATATGCCGACTAGTCTTCACGTGGACATATGCTTTCATTTCTGTTAGGTAAGCACCCCTGGGAGTGGAATGGCTGGATCCTAAGGAATGCAGGTTTAGCTTTTAAGAAATGGCCATTTCCACAGCATTTGTAGTACTGAACCTGGCCACAAGCAGTACAGGGAAGATGCCCTGGCTTCATGGCCTTAGTATGTCGCCACAGTATGGTCATGTTTCCATTCTGCCAGCTGCATTCTGCCAGCTCAGCAGCAGCTCATTGCAGGCTTGATTTGTGTTTCCCTAACGACCGAGGCTGCAGACATCTTGTCATGTGCTGGTCTGCTATATACACCCTTTGGTCAAGTGTCCCAATCTTCCCCATTTTAAAAGCTAGGCTGTCTACTTCCTGAGTTTAAGAGTTCTTTAGAGATACAAAGCTTTTGTTGGAGATTTTGCCAAATAGTTTCTGTCAGTCTATGGCTTATCTTTTCATTCTCTTCGTTCAAAGAGAAGTTTTTGATTTTTATGAAGTCCAATTTACTATAGAATTTGTACTTTTTGTGTCCTTTTTGAGCAATCTTTGCCAAAACCAGTCACTATAATTTTTCCCTTTATTTTCTTCTAGATTAATAGTGATAGCTTTTACATTAAATTGTAAAGTCCTCACTTCCCTTTTCCCTTTGCTCCCCACCGCCAAATCCTGGCAATCCATCTTTCGCATTTTCCAGAAATACTTTCTATTTGCCAGGTCACCCTCTTCTGCTTAGCTCTCATTCATTCTAATAGCCTCTTGGCTGACTGCCTTCTACCCTTAACCCGTAATATTCTTTAGATTATTTTTTACTGTAGTAAAAAACACTTAGCATAAAATGTATCGCCTTAACTGGATCTTAGGCTACTGGCCCATACCTAAAACAGCTGCACCAACACAGCAGCCTCATGCAGCTACTTGAACATAAATCAAAGTTCAGTTCCGCATTCACATTAGCCACATTTCACGTGCTCAACAGCCTCGTGCGGCGAACTGGCCACCATGCTAGGTGGCCCGAAGTTTTTTGGACAATGTTGCTGTACATTAATATCACTTCCATTTTCAAAGCATTCAGTTCAGGCTCTGAAATAGAAGCTTTAACCATCAACACTGAGGTAGACTAACTCAATATGAGAGGTAAGAACATTCAAGTTCTGTAAGGATAAATACACCTTGCCTAAAGGAATCCTTTAAAGCTCGACAAGCTCTTTATTGCCCATCTATATAAAAAGTACTTGGTATGCTTCTCAAAGAACATATTCCATCCCAAAGCTATGTACTTCGTAAACAATTTCCTTTCTCCTGTTCTTCATTCGAAACAGTACATATGGGAAATCCCTAATTAATCCACCCTTCTTATTCCTCAATATACATACTCTGTACTGCAACATATGTGAAATATGTCAACAGAAAATTTCACAACCCTTGGCTTTTTCCCTGCATCTAAGTGAATGTTTACCCCCCCACCCTCCTGGGAACAATCACCCACCATTTTAAGCTTCCAAGAAGAGTCAGATTGTACCAGCCAACTGGGCCTTTTCCTGGCTACTCAGATCCATGTGGGGAGCGTCCAATACTAGATTCTCACACTCCACCATCAGAAGTACTGAGTAAGAGTATATGGAAATCAACAGTCCCTACAATGAGCTTGAAGTACAACCAGACTTGGGAGTAAAAACCTCAACCATCTCAGTCTTAAGAGAGAGAAAAAATTCCTGGCTGGCTCGGTCAGTACAGCAAGCAACTCTTGATCTTGGGGTGGTGAGTTTGAGCCCCATGCTAGGTGTAGAGCTTACTTAAAAAAAAAAAGGATAAATTCATTTTCTCCAAGATAGCAGAGCAACAGAAAGAAAACAACATAAAACCACAGAAACAGACACACTTTCTCTAGCCTGGTTATACTTCATTCTTCCCAGATACACACAATGCTCAACAAGAGACTGAAGTTTATTTATCATATACACAAGTCATGTTTGACCACTGAGAAAATGCTATTTACATAAAACATCACAGATTAAAAATACATAGTATTTGTATTTTAATGCAACGGGGGTCCCAGGATTCAAACAAGGAGGTCTGATTCCAACTCCGCAGTACAGCTGTTTGCTCTGCTACAAAGAGCTCTAGTGGAGGTAACTCTGGCAGTAAGTTTCTCAAGTCAGACAAGCGTGACTTTCACACACACGGTTTTGCATCTGTCGAGGAAGACACAGCATCTTCAGCACACGTACCAGCATCTGGGGCTTCCACGTCCGAGTCCTCACTGGTTTCCTCTTCCGAGTCACACTCCTGACTGTTTGGTGATTCAGAGTTACCCAGAGGTTCCTCATGCAGTCTCTTTTGAAAGAATAAACCAACAATTTACTATCAACACTGTACAGGCCGAGTCCATTAGCAGTGTGCTGGCATCATTGACCCTCAAGGTTCTAAAGAGGTCCTTTTCGTAAAGTCTCCCAATTACATTCACGGACAGTCAGGTGTTTTATCGAGGTCTCCCCCACGCTAGATCCCACTTCAGCGAAGTCACAGCGCCTAACCATTTGCTCATCTTTTTAAAGCACTGACATGCCCCCACAGTCCACTCGAGTCAGTGCTTCTCAAGCTACCTAGAGCGAAGAACCAGGTTTTCTGATTTCCAGTCTGCAGTGGACCAACACACTCAGGGCAGCTGGGAGAGCTATTCACTACTTCCAAGGGAAAACTTCGAACAGGAAGTCTGTCACGGCTTTAAAATGTAAGCAATTCAGTACAAGAAAAGCTAATATTTGAAAAACTTTCTTCCTATCAGTAATACGATTTTTCGAAAACGTGAATAAGTTTAAGACCTACTTTTTTAGTCCAATACTGTAAGTGAAGTAGTCATGCTAATTCTTTGTTTTTCTTTAAAGATTTATTTATGAGAGAGAGGGAGGGAGGGAGGGAGCGTGCAGGGGGAGGGCCAGAGGGAGAAGGAGAGAGAAACTCTAGCAGACTCCTTGCTGAGTTCGGAGCCTGATGCCGGGCTTGATCTCAAGACCCTGATATCATGACCTGAGCTGAAACCAAGAGTCGGACACTTAACTGACTGAGCCAGCCAGGCGCCCGCCCCCCCCCCCCCAACCCCAGGCTAGTTCTTATAAACACATTAGCTTCTTCCAAATAAAACGTCAGATAAGACCACCAAACTTTAGTTTACCAATTAACAGTTTTATACATGACGGTAATGTCACACTGGCATTCGTTATATTAAAACCTGTCAAAAAACTTGTCAACTGTGAAAGAAAAATTTTCCATATGTAAGTAAATTCCTTTTTATATTTCTACAAGAAAATAGATGTTCTTTTGCTTCATGATAATAATAATATCTAACAGTCACTGGGGCTCTTATGGGCAGGGACTTCTCTCCACTTTCATCGTTATAACTCATTATTCTCATGACAAGTCTACAAAGTGCATATTTTACTCCCATCTTACAAATGAGGAAGATGAAGCCCTGACAACATACATAACCTGCTTGACTCAACAAACGTGATGATGCTGGGCAGGGAGCGAAGACTCACACCCAGGAAATCTGATTCCAGAGCCCGCACACTTACTGATTACACTGCTACCTCAAATGATGAAAAAACAGAGGATTCGGAGTCAGGTGAGTGTTCAAATACCTACCTCTATCACCTCTGCCATATACTGCACATGCTCTGCTACCTCTGCCAGTTCTTTGTTTTCCTTCTTCAGGCGGGCAATTTCACTGTCCTTTTGTTCAATTTCTTTGTGAAGCTATAGGACATAAATAAAGTTCAGTATTCCACTGATCTGCCATGCTAGAAACCAAACTACCATGCCTCCAAATCTGTAACGGAGAATAACCGACAGACACATTTACACAAAGTTCCTAACAACAGTGCTACCTCTGGCTCTCGATGAGCTCCTTTGGTGTAACAGTTCTGGTAACAGAGCTCCCTTTCTGATTAGACTTGTCTTAGACCAACATTAAAGCTAGTTTATATCACTCCAACCAAGCAGAAGGAAAGTAATCCTGGAATGTTGAAGATTGCCACAAACTACAGTCAGTACATACTTTCTCATTTTCCTTAAGTGCTTCATAGAGCGCCTTCCTCCGTTTTTCTGCCACTTCTTTCCAATATTGAGAGGATGGATTTTCTAAAATAAATTAACGTTTTCATGTAAACCTTGAAAATATTATTATACTATTATATGCTACTGTAAAAACCCAATGATTTTTCTACAAAAAAAATGTTCCCACAACACTTTATGGAACATCACCAGCTTCCTCTGTTGACTTCCACTGCCATTCCAGTTAGAACTAGGACGAACAATAGGCTCCTTCTAGCTCAGCCACGTTGCTGCTGGGTCCCTTCATTTTCTGCTATGTGCAAGTTCCTTTCTTCAAAATCATTCTCTAGATACTTTCTTTTGAAAAGACAATTTCCAAGTCTTGTGACACTTAAGAAAATCTAATGTCAGAGCTGTCATATTAATCACTAACCTTTTAATATTTCACCCATATTTGGATCTTACCAAACAGTAAAGCCTGTTCACAGTATATACCATAAGAAATTTTCAACTATCTAAACATTTGAGTAAAATACCTAATAGAGTCTCCAGATTAAGAGGCTGTGGGCAGGATTTGTAACAGTATAATAAGTGATTTGTTATTTTATTTAATATTTAAATAATTAAATATTAAATTAGTTATTAATATTAATAATTTAAATTTATCATTAACTAAAACATTTAAGAAAAGTTATACATTTTTTCATACCTGCAATCATAAGATCAAACGCTTCTTGAGTAACTTCACTAAAATTTTTATTTTCACTATGTTCTGGGACAAAAACAACTCCAGAGCTGGAAGCCTTAGATGTTAACTGGTCGTTCCAATGTTTCCTTTTGGACAAGGCTTTAACCAACTACAATGAAAATACATGCATCAATCTCATTTATTTTGATTTAATGAACAAGAAAGTTGGGTGGTTTTATCATGTATGTATTAAAAACAGAGCACTCATATGTCTGTTTGAAATCTTTGGATCTTTTAAAAGAATCACAAATTTAAAACTCTACCAAAATGTAGTTATTTTTTAGGAATTTTATTTGCAGCAACTATCCTAGATTAGACTTAGGTCTAAGGCTTAGCTGAAATTATTTTTTTTGTTTAAATAACTGAGTACCACAGAAAGGCCGTATTTTCAGACCTGTAAAAGTCTAGACACCCTCATCTGTAATTTTATCCTTTACAGACAGGGGTAAATGAATGACTGTAACATTTTATTCCCAAAACATCAAACATTATTCCTGTTGGCTAACTCATAACTTCTTACATCATCCCAGTGCTACTGTAGGTCTTCATACAAATTTTGAACTTCCTAAATTGAACGATCAATACAAAAACCATTTCTGAGAGAAATACACAATCGTTATTCTTGAATTATTTCCAAGTTTCAATGACCGAGGCACCTCCGGATCAAGGACATCTTGGAAAGGTCTTTAATGTAAAGTTAGTATCATTTGTACCATTCTAGCCCGATAACACATACCTCATTCTCTCTTCCAACAAGTGATCCAGCTGCTGAAGGCTGAATCATCTTCAGAGTTCTTCTTGGCACAGGACTATTCTAAAAGTCAACGAAATTTATTATCTGGTTACTCAGTTGTTATACGGGTTATTACTCTCGTACTCCTATAATTTAGGAAAGAGGAAACACTAAGAATACTAGTATTTGGTCTGCTATATAATTAAATAGGAGCAATATATTGGTTTTTTCAACTGGCAAACTTGTTATTTCCCTAAATTATAATAAAGTTTAAAGAAAGCCTAATGGATCACATTACCCAAACTTGACACAAGTAGCTTTTCTCCTTCCATTTCATTTTATTTTATTTTATTCTTATGTTAATCCCATACATTACATCATTAGTTTTAGATGAAGTGTTCCATGATTCATTGTTTTCTCCTTCCATTTCAATACATGCTGTATTATAGTCACCTTGTTAACTAATCACATCCAGTTAAAAAATATAACAAAATTTCTAAGCTCTAATACTTCAGACCATATTGATGAAACTGCAGTACAACAGGAATATTTGTATTCGCTCTTAAAAAGATCTGCCACACAGAAACTAGAAACCTACCAGACATCATAACATTTACAGTAGAAACCCAAAAAGGGGTAAACTGGGGGAAAAAAGGTTATTTACACTGCAAAATATTTCTTCCCCTACTCAAAAAGATTCATCTCAGACTTCCTTTCAATAGCAACTATCCCCTAACACATGTATATGTATTCACCAAAGGAATACAATTTTCAGAACACACCTTTATACAGAACCAAAAACACATCTAAGAGGACAACCCCCCCCCCCCCGCCCCCCGCAATCTTCACCTGACTGCAGAAGCAGTTTTGCTTCAAGCCCATTCATTAGGAGACGGCCACAAAGTCCATGCCAGAGGCACACGAGAATACTGTGAATTTGCCTACACTACTGTTTTGGAAAAAACTTAGCCTTCCTTATAACATGTAAATAGCTTCCCATATATTTCCTGATCTGAAAGCGCTCTCTCTTTTTGCAAAAAATCATTAGTTATCCTGCCGCCATGGGATAGCAAACAATGGTGAACACTCAAACAAGGGCAGCAAGAACATGACACCGAAGCAGCGTGGGAAAGTTTCTGCTTCCATGCAGTACTTCACAGGACGAGAGCTCACCTTTCCCACGGTACAGTTTCTACTGCCGATTATTATCTCACTATTGAACTGAAGAACAAATGCCAGCTACTCTGAGAACAAATATTATAACAACATTTCAGATGTAATTTAGATTATAGATTAGTCCACAGACAAACAGAAGAAAACCTAACTCTGGACCCTTAAGAATAGGAGGTGTTAATTTATTTAAATGCTTGCTACTAATAATGGCCAAAGAAGCCAGATAAATCAATGCCACACACAAAAAAATGGCCATTTTTAAGATTAACTTTTGTACATATAAGCCTGAAGCACCCAGCCCCCAAGATGGAATATGGCTATTATCATTCTCTTCATACAGATCATGCATTGGAATACCAGACTCTTTAGAGCCAAGAGGTTCAGGTTCTTAGATATTAATAGGTCTTAATCTTTTTAGAAAACCATTTGGGATTCTGGGAACCCTTCTCTCAAAAAAAAAAAAAAAAAAACACACAAGAGCACTACTCACATGGAGTTTTGCCTAATTGGTAGGAAATCCATGAACTCCTATAATTCACTCTTATAGATCTAGTTTTAGTCCAATCTCTTCCTTTTACAGAGATGTAAACTGAGGCTGGGATGCTAAATAATTCACCCAACATCAGAGCTGTGGAGGCTAAATCAAGAATCAAACAGAACCCAGTCCTTTTATATCCAAGATAGTTGTACTCTAGCTAGTACACATTACATTTTTCTTTAGATATAAAGATCTGCTGAAATGATATAAACTGTCTGGGATCTGCCTCAAAATAATTATGTGGCTCAAGGAGGAGTGAATGAAAATGTAGATGAAACAAGATTAGCCATATATTGATAACTGTTGAAAACTGTAAAGTTGAGATTATTATATTATTGACTCTATTTTTGAATATTTGAAAATTTTCATAAGAAAAAGTTTAAGCACACACACAAAGCCCAGTGGGAAAATGTCATCATCCTAAATGGAAAGAGATGGACTTAAATTATCAATGCAGTTATTATTTACGAAAAATAATGTAAGGACACTAAGGCAAGGTAAGCCATCTATCAGAAAGCATCTGCTATCACTTATGAAAGGCTTTTATTTATTCTATTTAATTTAAATCTTAAATTAAAAATGATAGTTTTCCTGAAGATGTGGTCTCATTACCGGGAACCCTCACCCTCTAAGTTGTGTGGCAGAAGCTTGTTAAGTTGTAAATTCATTTAGAACCTTAAGAGCAAAATCAGTCAAAGTTACAAATTCAAAATTAAATTCTGTTCTTATTGTTATACGAATAAATATTTGGGATAAGATTTCCAGTGATGGCATCATACTGGGATTCAAAAAGCGTAGCAAAACAAGCAGGTTCGATGGTAATGAGTATGATCTTCTCTGGACACACGTGCACTGTAACGCAAAATGTGTCTCTAGTCAAAGACACCAATTCTCAAGATACAAAGGATTTTAGTAAAGTCATTTTATAAAATGGAGGAGTGGAAAGAAAGCAACCACAATCTTATTTACAGAGAATCCTAAGGAATCTACTAAAAAACTACTAGATCTAATAAGTTCAGCAAGGTTGCAGGATTTAAGATCAAATTCAAAAGGCAAAAATCAACTGTTTTCCATACAGTAGCAATGAACACACAGAAAATTTAATTTAAGAAACAATTCTATCTACAGTAGCATTAAAAATACTTAAGAAAAAATTAAGCAAAAGGAGTATAAAACTCAATACTCTGAAAACTACCAAAACATTGTTGAAAGAAATTAAGACCTAAACAAACGGAAAGAGATTCCATGCAATGGGATCATAAAACTTAACTGTTCAACCTTAATTAATTTTTTTAAAGTTCTCTAGTGTTACTTGTCCTCTAGCTAAAAGCTCGGCACTTCAAAGTTTATAGAAACAATAGCCAGATTAAATTTAGTTAAATCATATCAAAATGCTTCTAACCACATGCTTTCTTCAACAAATGAAAGTGATTCTATCACATACCTTTACATTCTCTTTGATTTCTTCTTGTTTCTGCTTCATATTTGGATTCATTATACACCTGGTGAAGTACAAAAAACTAGTAATTTATACCATAAACAGAAAGTGGTTTGCACCCGAAGGTGGAGTTTAGATTTTTTTGTTGTTGTTGTTGCAAGTATTTACAAGTATTTACAATCATAGAACTCATTACTACTATACAGTAAAACTATGATCTTTTCTCACTGTACCCAAACTCAGCCCCATCAATGACTACAGGGACTAAAGTTTGTGACTCTTACTATCTATATTACATACACACACACAATAATTCTGGTTAGAAACATCTTGTTACAACAGGAAAATTAGGTATTCTAAACAAATTTACAAAACACTGTGGTGTCCTGGATTAAACAGAGGACTCAAAAAAACCTGAGAAATGGTCACCAAGAAAAGCAAAACGATAAATGGTCACCAGGTACGTGGGTATGCTCAAGTCTGTCCTAAAGGATAGCATTCTAGGGCGCCTGGGTGGCTCAGTTGGTTGAGCGACTGCCTTCAGCTCAGGTCACGGTCCCGGGGTCCTGGGATCGAGCCCCGCATAGGGCTCACTGCTCCGTGGGAAGCCTGCTTCTCCCTCTCCCACTCCCCCTGCTTGTGTTCCCTCTCTCGCTGTGTCTCTCTCTGTCAAATAAATAAATAAAATCTTTAAAAAAAAAAAAAAATAAAGGAGAGCATTCTAGGGGCGCCTGGGTGGCTCAATCAGGTCGGCTTGGGTCATGATCCAGGGTCCTGGGACCCAGCCCTATGTTGGGCTCCCTGCTCAGCGGGGAGTCTATTCCCTCTGCTTCTGTCTGCTGCTCCCCGTTTGTTCTCTCTCTCAAACGAATAAATAAAACCTTAAAAAACAAAGAGCATTCTAACTTTGCTGTTGTTTCAAAGGCAGTTTTAAGCTACAATAAAACTGGCCCTGGTAGCCAGCAATAGGTCTGCAGTGATTTAATATCCGATCTGAGCTTATGTATTCACACTGGTAGGGAACGTCTAACCATCACCGTGACTGAGACACTGCGGGAAGCAGGGAGGAGGGGGCAGAAGATAAAGGGATTACGCAACGTGGTTAACCAGACCCCTGGGCCAGACTCGCGCCAAACCCAACCTCCGAACCGCCTGGGCAGGTCTGCGCCTGCCAAACATCTGGACTGCGGCCGAGTATGCCTTTACTCGGCGCGGCGGCTTTCAGACCTCGCCCGCGACTCCCCTCCGGCTCACACATTTACACCGGGCCTAGCACGAGCCCAGACGAGCGTTTAAACCGGAAAGCCCCTAACGGTGTACGCACCTTATCTTCCCTTCTAGCTCACGTTAGGCAAAAGCTGACGGGGACCCACGAAACGGAGCAATGTTCTCCCAAACCGCACGTCGCAGCCCGGGATCCCCCAATCGTTTACTTGGGCCTCGAACACCGTGGAGAGAACACCGCGCGCACAGCATGCGAGGCGCAAGCACGGCTCCGTGAAACTTCCCGTTGCCTCGTCGGGCTGCATCCCGAACTGCGACGTGCGGTGAGCTTCCGTCAGGGCCGCGGCCCCAACAGGTGGCAGCCCCTGGCCCAGCGCAGTCTCTCCTAGGCCTGTCACACTCCGGTCGGCAGCCGTGCAGGGGCTGGCGCCCCGGGAGACACCAGCGGCACCAACCGCGGGTCGTTTCAGCGGGCGACGCAGGACTCCGCAGGCTCCGGGCACAGCGAGCCCCTCGACGCGGCGGGCCGGGGCTCCCCGCGCAGGCCGGGGGTCGGCGGGGCTCGGGGCTCCCGCCGCGGCTCCCACCGGGGCTCCCCGCGCAGGCCGGGGGTCGGCGGGGCTCGGGGCTCCCGCCGCGGCTCCCACCGGGGCTCCCCGCGCAGACCGGGGGTCGGCGGGGCTCGGGGCTCCCACCGCAAGCCGGGGGTCGGCGGGGCTCGGGGCTCCCGCCGCGGCTCCCACCGGGGCTCCCCGCGCAGGCCGGGGGTCGGCGGGGCTCGGGGCTCCCGCCGCGGCTCCCACCGGGGCTCCCCGCGCAGGCCGGGGGTCGGCGGGGCTCGGGGCTCCCGCCGCAAGCCGGGGGTCGGCGGGGCTCGGGGCTCCCGCCGCAAGCCGGGGGTCGGCGGGACTCGGGGCGGCGCGCCGGGGCTCCCGCCGCGGGCACGCGTCCGGGACGCGCCCGCCAACCAATCGGGAGCGCGGACAGGAGAGCGCGCCAAAACCGACCCAGCCAATGGGGCAGCCCCCTCGTCCGCGGGGCCCTGCCTCCCGCGCGCTCCCCGCAACGTCCACTCCGGCCGCGGCCCGGCAGCCGTCAAAGGAGCGGCCCCCGCGTTCCCACCTCTCTCACGCTTATCGGACGGGCGCGCTCGGTCCTCGTAGCGGACGCAGGGAGCTGCGGCGGGAGCGCCTCGCACACGGTCCACCGCCGCTGGGAAAGCTGGCGAACTCCGCTCGTCGGCGCGACGGCCACGTGACCAGCTGACGCCAGACGGATCCCGCGAATCGCCTCCCGCCTCCGCCCCTCGGCCCCGCCCCTCGGCCCCGCCCCTTCCTGCGCCTGCGCGGTGGGAGTTGCGCGGATTGGGGCGGGGCCGCCCGGGGGTTTCTGCCGGCGGGGCGGTCGCTGCCCTCTGACCTTGCCTGGGAATTCTCCCCTCGGTGCAAGGCTCTCTTCTCTTTGCCCTTGTCAAGGGCAGGGGGCGGGGCAAGCCCTCCCGCTAGACACGCAGTCGGGGAGAACAAGCTGTCGTATCGGAAGCGCCCGGCGTACCTGTGGGCGAAGCCGTGGCTGCGCGGACTCCCGCTTGTGTTCCGGGCGCTTGTGTTCCGGCTGCGTGCACCCTGGCTGTGCTGCGCTTCGCTGGGGGCTCCGCAGGCTGGACTCGGCCGTCGGGTGCTCCTGCCGCCGCTCGCCGAGCGCCCGGCGCGCGCCCAGGACTGATCTGGCGCGGGAATGCAAGGAGCGGGGTCCCCTTCGCGACGCCTGTAGCTTTGCTTTATCGCTCGTCTGCAAAATCTCAGCTCCTCTGTGACAGAGCACGTTTGGGGTCACCGGAGCCTGGCCTTTTGCGCACATCTGTTTTCCCATTCCTTGACTTTTCCTGGGATTGTCATTCTCAGAGGGAGGACTGCCCCGCACCGCGCACAGCGCCGCTCTCGGGCGGAGCTGTCTCACCTGTGCGCCCACCTGCCCACCTGCCCACCTCCTGCCTCGCCCCGGTTTCTCTTCCACCGAGCTCACAATGTACAGAGCACAGTGCTGTGGTCCTGGCTTTGTTTGGGAGACATACATAAAATCTAAATTCGTAAAGGAAACAGTCCATTGATTGGAAAACGATCCGTAGACCGGATTTCCAAAGTGAGATCCTGACGACCAGTGCCAAGTACAAGCACAGCGTCTTTTGACTGTGAAACACCAGCCGGTCAAAATAGTGACTCTGACTTCCAGTTTCTTCATTCAGCCGCATGATAAAAAGGCATCGCTGGAAAGACCCAAAATGGTAAGTATATACAATGTTCTATTCAGGTAGCCTGTACTGGGTAGAGTATAAAGCAAAGTTCATAATGTTTCCTAACAGAACTAAAAAAACTGGGAAAGACAAATCTCTTCCATAAGAAAATGGTAAGCAAACCAAGGAGGTAGAATCATGAGGTCACCAGGTTAAAAGCCTGAGGAGCAATAAGAGAATTGGTGATTTTCCAGAAGTATCACAAAACCCACTTACCTAAATGTTATCTGTAGTTGCTAATAGTATTTCTTAGTTTGGGGATGGTGTGGGGAGACTTTTACATTATACATTTCAGTATTGCTTGACTTTTTTTTTTTTAATTCAACATACCGAAGATGATTCCTGCTTTAGGAAAAATCGTGAGGCTCCCAGAGTCTGAAACAACCATTTTACCAGCTTAGGTAAGATCCTTTTTGCTTTGCCTGCTAAATGATCAACTAGTTAATGTGACTAATTCAGATCTGTACCTGCACTATCCAGTTGGGTGGCCACTAGTCACACAATGACTATTGAGCACTTGAGATGTGGCTAGTGTTCATCGAAATATGCTATCATGTAACATACATACTGAATTTCAAAGATTTAGAGTGAAAAGAAGAATGTAAAACATTTCCATAATTTTTTGTACTGATCACATGTTGAAATGATACTTTGGATATACTGGGTTAAATGCAAGTGTTGGGTGCCTGGGTGGCTCAGATGGTTAAGCGTCTGCCTTCGGCTCAGGTCATGATCCCAGGGTCCTGGGATCGAGTCCCGCATCGGGCTCCCTGCTCCGCGGGAGCCTGCTTCTCCCTCTGCCTCTCTCTCTCTCTGTCTCTCATGAATAAATAAATAAAATCTTAAAAAAAAAAAAAATGCAAGTGTTGTTAAAATTCATTTCATTGGTTTCTTTTTACTTTTTAAAATATGGCTACCTGAAAAAAAAATTAATGATCGATGTGGCTCACGTTTGTGTCTCACATTGTATTTCAGTGAGACATGACTGTGCTAAAATACCACAACATACGTCATCCCAGTGAATCTTCTTAGTAGCCCTGTCAGGGAGATGTTTTCTACTCCCTACTTCACAAGACTGAGAGGCTAAATTACAGGCCCAAGATCTCAGACCACTAGCCGGTGACAGACAGACTTCGGATCTCCTGACTCGAAGTCCACATATGGAAAGAGAGAGGTTCTGAAAATACTCCTCTCTCCAGAGGCAGAAGATCCTCAAGCCCCCACACTACTGGGAATGTCTCTACAGTGTATGCTTTCATACTGTTTTTGAAGAACAAATTTATAGGGAAAACAATTTTGTAGGGATCTGGAAAAAAGTGGCAAGTGGTTGTCGTTTAATCAGAATTTGGCCCTAGACATCCAAATATCCTGTAGTCTTATCTGCACTAAGGAAACTACGGGTATTGATCGGATGAGATTGTGCAGTAACATTGGCTCGCGTATAATCCTTCAGTTGACTGCAATGTTACATGCACAAGTTTAAAAAAAATTCACGGATGTTTCTCTGTAATCTATTAGCCACTTCCACATTGCTGTGCAGTAGAGAGCTGTTTGTTCGTGTCTTGCCCAAGAACATTTATAATCAGTTTACCGAAAGAGAAGGAAAGAAAAAGAAGCACAATAATGAACTGTAATAGAAAAACAAAACCAGTCATTTAACATGATATAAAGAATAATGATAAATTAAAATGTTAATGAAAGGCAGTAGGACCAACTGAGAGGACATGTCCCTTTTTAAAATTTATCATTTATTAAGGCTAAACTAAATTCCCAAGGTTTTCAGCCAGAGTTCAGAAATTGCCTATTACATGATAATCCCTATTTTTCTGAAAGCTTCCCTGGGGGAACACATAACAATTTATTACAGTCTTTTCAAAAAGCTCATATAGGATCATTTGTAGTGATCCAGTTCCTCTACTGTGAATTATATTAAAATAGTTGAATTTATGTTTTAGGTTACCTGAAATGTGCACAAAGTTGAAAAAAAATGAGAGCAGAAAAGAAATTCAGATGCAAACAATTTATCAGATTTAGGGGTTTTTTTGTTTTGTTTTGTTTTTTTGGTTTTTTTTTTAAGATTTTATTTATTTATTTGAGAGAGAGAGAGCACATGAGAGGGGGGAGGGTCAGAGGGAGAAGCAGGCTCCCCGCTGAGCAGGGAGCCCGATGCGGGACTCGATCCAGGGACTCCAGGATCATAACCCGAGCCGAAAGCAGTCGCTCAACCAACTGAGCCACCCAGGCGCCCCTAGGGTTTTTATTTTTTAATTTTTTTAATTTTTTAATTTTTCTAAATAGGCTGTATGCCCAGTGTGGGGCTTGATTGAACTCACAACCTGGAGATCAAGAGTCATGCTCTACCAGCTGAGCCAACCAGGCACCCTAGTGTTTTTATTTTTAAGGTAACATTTTAATAATTAATAACATGAGATACATACTAATTTTAATGATGATAAATCAGCTTTAAGATAAAAGGCAGTAAATAGGTGATTATAAAGTACCAAGGAAATGAAAAAACACATAGTGAATGTAGTCCATGATGAACATACACCATTATATGTAATAAGCCGTTATATGTAATTTTTCTTTTCACTGTATTTGTATTTTATTTTTTTAATTTTTTTTTAAAGCTTAACTTCTTTCTTTCTCACTTCCTTTCTTTCATTTTATTTAAGTAATCTCTACACCCAACATGAGGCTCAAACTCATGACCCTGGGATCAAGAGCTGTATGCTCCTCCAACCGAGCCAGCCAGGCGCCCCATAAAATTTATTATTATTATTTTTTTTGGTAATCTCTACACCCAGTGTGGGGCTCAAGCTCAGGACCCTGAGATCAAGAGTTGCATGCTTTTCCTATTGAACCAGCCAGGCGCCCCAGTGTAATTTTAAAAGGGTGTTTTTGTTTTGTTTTGTTTTTTTAAAAAAGGATGTTTTAACTTTCACTTTTCAGAACAATGAGTATTGATCCTGAGAAGTTCGTTATTTACAAAAGACATATCTAGATCTGCTAGTTGTCATTTGTATAAAGAAGCTGCCAAAATTTCACAATGGGCTGTCTGTGTTCCTTTTTCAAAACAAGTGCATTCCAAGCAGAAATTGTTTTCTTAATCTCTCTTTTCCTTTGATATTTATTTATGTTTTATTTCTTAAACCCAGACCATTTCTCTAAGGATTTGGGCATGGAGAAAATTGTCACAAAATTCACAGAGTTAATTTTATAAAAGTGAACTTGTTGAGTCAGCTTATGTGGTGAGAATGAATTGCTGGCTACATAAGGGAGGACAGGTGTATTAGGTATTTGTTCAAGAGAAACAAAACCAGTAGGATGGATATAGATATAAAGAATTTGCCCACATGATTACGCCAGCTGGCAAGTCCACAATCTGTAAAGCCAATGTCCCCGTTTGAATCTGAAGGCCTGAAGCTTCTATAGAGCCTATGTCCCGGTTCAAGGGTCATCAGGCAGGAGGCTTCTCTCCTATGGGAGGGGATTGAGGGGATGGGGCTGGGGGAGGGTCAGGCTTTCATTACAAAAGACTATTTGCTTTGCTCAGTTTACTTATTTAAACGTGAATCTCATCTAAAAACACCCTCACAGAAACACCCAGATAATGTTTGACCAAATATCTGGGCACCCGATGGCTCAGTCAGGTTTACCTAAAATGAGGCACCACAATGGGAAAGAAAGCCTTCCGTGGACCTTGACTGAGGATGCACTTGGATCCCCTTCAAATGGGAAGGCCTAGAAGTACACTACACCCCATGCTCAGCTGATGGGTTAGTAGGAACATCTTCTATGAAGGAGAGAGCAAATTGTGCCTTATGTCTTGTTAGTTTCAAAGGAACCAAAAACTGTGAAGTGTTATGTTCAGATGAAGGACTGCAGCTCTGTTTCCTAGTGGCAGACGTTGGCTCCTTGTGAGATCTGTAAAGGGAGGATCTGGCCCTTGGACATAGCCACTTTCTCCCTACTCTTCCTCCCATCCTCCTCCTCCTGCATCAGTCTCTGTGTCCAAATTTCCCCATTTTGTAAGGACATAAGTTATATTGGACTAGGATCTGCTATAGACTGAATGTTGGTGTCCCTCCAAAATTTTGAAACCTAATCCCCGATATGATACTCTTTGGAGGTGGGGACCTTTGGGCAGTAATTATAAATGGAATCAGTGCCCTTATGAAAGAGATCCCAAGGAGCTCCCTCACTCCTTCCATCATGTAAGGACACAGTGCAAAGGTGGCCAAGAAGCACCAGGAAGCAGGCCCTCACCAGACAGAATCTGCAGGCCCCTTGATCTTGGACTTCCCAGCCTCCAGAACTGTGAGAAATAAATGTTCATTGTTTAAGTCACCCAGTCTCTGGTATTTTTGCCATAATAGCCCAAACAGAGTAAGGCAGGCTCTACCCTATCGTGTTCACTTGATTGCCTCTATAAAGACCCTGTCTTCAAATAAGGTCACATTGTGAGGTACTGTGGGTTAGGACTTCAGCCTATGATTTGGTGGGGTGGGTTCAACCCATAACAGAAAGCTTGCAGCTTTCGTAGTCTACTCTACTCAACTGCTTGCTCCTCACTTCAAAGCGGGAGTAGCCAGCATGCACTCCAGGACTGATCAGGGCAAGTACCTGAGTAGTCCTGCCATGTGTGTTGTCTTTTCCTTTTTGTGGTCATTTGAACTTTATTGTATTAGAAGAAGAGCCAAGCAGTTCCTACATTTTAAAATGGTTCTCATGTGACTCTTGATATTAGGGTCCTAAGTTCTAGCCCCATCATGGGCACAGAGCTTACTTTTTTTTTTTTTTTTTTAAAGATTTTATTTATTTATTCATGAGAGACAGAGAGAGAGAGGCAGAGGGAGAAGCAGGCTCCCAAGGAGCAGAGAGCCCGATGCGGGACTCGATCCCAGGACCCTGGGATCATGACCTGAGCTGAAGGCAGTCGCTTAACCAACTGAGCCACCCAGGCGCCCCACAGAGCTTACTTTTAAAAAGCTTAAAAAGGCTCTCAAGAGGAGAAAAAACCCTTTTTTTTGGAAAATCTGTTCATCTTGTTCTTAATGAAAAGAATACATTTTTTAAGTTTTTTTTTCCCTGTAATATTTATTTTTTGTTATGATTATTTCTTTTTTAAAATTAACCTATAATGTATTATTGGCTTCAGAGGTAGAGGTCAGTGATTCATCAGTCTTATATAACACCCAGTGCTCGTTATGTCACATGCCCTCCTTAATGCCCATCACCCAGTTACCCCATTCCCTCTCCCTCCCTCCCCTCCAGCAACTCTCAGTTTGTTTCCTAGAGTTCAGTGTGTCCTATGGTTTGTCTCCCTCTCTGGTTTCATCTTGTTTTATTTTTTCCTCTCTTTCCCTATGATCCTCTGTTTTGTTTCTTAAATTCCATGTATCGGTGAGATCATACGATAATTGTCCTTCTCTGATTGACTCATTTTGCTTAGGCTAATACCCTCTAGTTCCATCCACGTTGTTGCAAATGGCAAGATTTCTTTTTTTTTTTTTTTTTTGATGGCTGAGCAATATTCCATTGTATATATATATATACCACATCTTTATCCATTCATCTGTTGATGGACATCTAGGATCTTTCCATAGTTTTGCTATTGTGGACATTGCTGCTATAAACACTGGGGTGCAGGTGCCCCTTCAGATCACTATATTTGGGGTAAATACCCAGGAGGGCAATTGCTGGGTCATAAGGTAGCTCTATTTTCAACCTTCTGAGGAACTTCCATACTGTTCTCCAGAGTGGCTGCACCAGCTTGCATTCCCACCACCAGTGTAGGAGGGTTCCCCTTTCTCCGCATCCTCGCCAACATCTGTCGTTTCCTGACTTGTTAATTTTAGCCATTCTGACTGGTGTGAGGTGGTATCTCATTGTGGTTTTGATTTGTATTTCCCTGATGCCAAGTGATGTTGAGCACTTTTTCATGTGTCTGTTGGCCATTTGGATGTCTTCTTTGCAGAAATGTCTGTTCATGTCTTCTGCCCATTTCTTGATTGGATTCTTTGTTCTTTGGGTGTTGAGTCTGATAAGTTCTTTATAGATTTTGGATACTAGCCCTTTATCTGATATCTGATATTTGCAAATATCTTCTCCCATTCTGTCGGTTGTCTTTTGGTTTTGTTGACTGTTTCCTTTGCTTTGCAAAAGTTTTTTATCTTGATGAAGTCCCAATAGTTCATTTTTGCACTTGCTTCCCTTGCCTTTGGCGATGTTTCTAGGAAGAAGTTGCTGCGGCTGAGGTCGAAGAGGTTGCTGCCTGTGTTCTCCTTTAGGATTTTGATGGACTCCTGTCTCACATTGAGGTCTTTCAACCATTTGGAGTCTATTTTTGTGTGTGGTGTAAGGAAATGGTCCAGTTTCATTCTTCTGCATGTGGCTATCCAATTTTCCCAACACCATTTGTTGAAGAGACTGTCTTTGTTCCATTGGACATTCTTTCCTGCTTTGTCAAAGATGAGTTGACCATAGAGTTGAGGGTCCATTTCTGGGCTCTCTATTCTGTTCCATTGATCTATGTGTCTGTTTTTGTGCCAGTACCATACTGCCTTGATGATGACAGCTTTGTAATAGAGCTTGAAGTCCAAAATTGTGATGCCACCAGCTTTGCTTTGCTTTTTCCATATTCCTCCGGCTATTCGGGGTCTTTTCTGGTTCCATACAAATTTTAGGATTATTTGTTCCAGCTCTATAAAAAAAAAGTTGATGTTATTTTGACAGGGATTGCATTGAATGTGTAAATTGCTCTAGGTAGCATGGACATTTTAACAATATTTGTTCTTCCAATCCATGAGCATGGAGCATTTTTCCATTTCTTTGTGTCATCCTCAATTTCTTTCATGAGTGTTCTGTAGTTTTCTGAGTACAGATCCTTTGCCTCTTTGGTTAGATTTATCCCTAGGTATCTTATGGTTTTAGGGGCAATTGTAAATGGGATCAACTCCTTAATTTCTCTTTCTTCTGTCTCGTTGTTGGTGTATAGGAATGCCACTGATTTCTGTGCATTGATTTTATATCCTGCCACTTTACTGAATTCCTGTATGAGTTCTAGGAATTCTGGGGTGGAGTCTTTTGGGTTTTCCACATAAAGTATCATGTCATCTGCAAAGACTCAGAGTTTGAATTCTTTGCCGATTCAGATGCCTTTTATTTCTTTCTGTTGTCTGATTGTTGTTGCTAGGACTTCTGGTACTATGTTGAACAGCAGTGGTGATAGTGGACATCCCTGCTGTGTTCCTGACCTTAGGGGAAATGCTCAGTTTTTTCCCCATTGAATATGCTATTTGCTGTGGGCTTTTTGTATATGGCTTTTATGATATTTAGGTATGTTTTCTCGTTTAGCACCCTGAATATATCACGCCAGTCCTTTCTGGCCTATCAGGTC